ATCATAGCAAGAAACAGTTGCCATTTCTTACCAACAAAACAAACAAATATGATTAAATCACAATAGTAGCAGAACTCGCAAGATCTTATATGGACAAGTAAGAATAATTTCCTCACGCTTGTCCAGATTTCTTCAAAGAGAGCTCATAACTATAGAAGGATTACGAATCTGCAAAAGGATGTTTGAACTTGTCAATGTATAAAAAAAATGTTATTAGGCCTACGACCATCATTTAAATATTATATATGGATCACACTGAAGGAAGGGCAGACGGACGGAAGGGCAGACGGACGGAAGGGCAGACGGACGGAAGGGCAGACGGACGGAAGGGCAGACGGACGGGCAAATAGGCAGGCGGACTGACAGATCTGGAAAATTGAAACAATATTTTAATCTACGGTATTTAATATACTGTTTCATCCCTCGTTCTTTGTGTTGAATTCGTTCGTTCTTGGTTTGTACTCGTTCGATTGAAAACACGTGTTTTCTGGCCGAAATCGAACTCAGAACAGCCCTGTTTCCATCTCGGTTGACTCCGGCCCGCTCTCCTGGGACTCGCCGCGCCGCCTGGCAGCTTCTGACCTCTCAGAGCTTTCCGGTAAAGAGTCAAGTGATAGGCGAAGACGCGTCTCTGATATCTCTCTTATCTTTCTAAGTTATCTCCCCGCGGCGTCGGATCCCCTGGCAGCCCTTTGCAGCTACTCCTCAAGACCTCCCAAACATCCAAACGCCCCTTCACTCCACTGCGCGTTGGATGCGGCAAATAGAGAACACGAGATGTTCCCGATTACTTTTCGAATTCGTAATTATGAGACAAGTATCCTTATGTGCCATGTTGGCCAGTATTCAAAAATAAAGATATAAAAAATATTTAATTCTAATCAGAGAGTGAATTCTGTATATTAGCTAGTAGAAAGATACAAGAGCGAGAGGTTGTAGGCCCAAATGTTATGCTGAGAGGCAAAACTGCCGAACAAGAAGAAAATAATTATTTTAAAAATGTCTGTGCGGACTCGAGCACAATTTCGAAGAATGACAAAAATCCAATACGTAATTACATTCCTTCGCGAAATAAGCGGTAAATACGAGTATTTTAGACTCATATCTTCCATTGCGTGGTTATATTCGTGCGTTTATCAACTGTGGTTTCCGATATGAATTCACCGTCCCACTAAGCGATTCATACACTCCGAAACTGACAGTCCGAAAGCACGACTTCTTCCAGTATGCAGGAAGGAAACTAGTGGTGATCCTAAAGCACATAATTTCTCGCATAATTTCTAAATTTGTTATTTTCGAAAATTCAGAGAGATCAACGAAAATGAGACTCGTGCCATTCTTTTAAGCGCCCTTTCTATTCGTGAGGGGGGATGAAGAAAAAATTAGGAGCGGTTTTTCAGAAGATGATTTTTTTTATATAAATTGCATTTATGTCCTGCTCAACTTACGCGTAAAAAATTCGCTTTTTTAAAAAACGACTCATGACCTTTTTTAAAGAGCTTTTTTTGAAACAGACTTTGTCTAAGGCTAAATCTTAATCTTCAATTTTGTAGTTTTGAAGTGTATTACACGAAGTTATATACTACATATTGGAGCGACAATTATTTGTTGTTGTTGTTGGTTAGTTTTTGTCCCACAGGACGAGTGCGAGGAAATTGCCCTTTTGAGCTGCAGTATCGAAATACTTTTTCTATACTATGTAAGTAATATGCGAGGAAGTAAAACTGACACATAGAGATGTAATTCATAAACTTCGTTGCATGCTCTTGTGATCGGAGACTAGCCAACCTAACTAAAAACACAACCACCTTGGAGTGACTCGTTTCAACTCAATTCATTACGAGTATTTAGGAAAATTGGTGAGAGGTAAATGACAAAACAAACGTGGATTAAATGCTGAAATAAATAAATACTGGTTGCAAGCTGAAATGGAGAGTCACTGCTTAAGTAGATTAATATATCGGTATCTAAGTCTAAAACTACTCTTAGTATCAAAACAAACGTCAACATTCAACAAACAATAATGAATAACTTTAGAAACATGAGACAAACAGTAAAACGAATATTGTACAAAATGCGGCATTACTACATGCAAAATGCACCCCTACATTTTAATAAAAATCATGAAACAATGATATGGTTTTAATTAATATCAGGTACACTTCAAGGTGGGTGACAGCCAGGATTTCAACAAAATAGTGCGTTTCATATATTCGGGATGTTGTGAGAAGGACACATACGTAAGTTGGATTCCAGATTAACACCCACTCACAGAAAACGCTCAGCGTCTTATCCGGAAATTATTACGTGTTTAAATGCGAGACAGTTCTACTATCTCTACGAGTCTAGTGATTGAAAAGCCTCACCTCTCCAAATACCATAGGCGTACTTTCAGAACTTTTGAGAGACTCAAACGTATTCTCCAGTAATCCAATGATACATTAGTTAGAGGTGGTGTGGAGTTTATATTGTCATCAACAGAAAAATCAGTAGTGGCTCAGCCAGCCAGAGACTTATTTGTTTTTTACTTTTTCAGCTGTATAAAGCCTTTCCGGCTATCTTCAATGCAATCTGTAGTGGCTGGGAGCCAGGTAGAGAAAAAGTTGAAGATGCGCAATGCGTCCGAAAAAGGTTTACACACACTAAACAAACAAGATAAGATTATATCTGAGGTTTTCATTGATATATTTTGAGACTATACTTCGATGCAATGCGAGTTGTATGCCACAGCTTTACTTGTAGGGTACGGAGGGTTACAGCAAAGACAGATCCTCGGGAAATTAACCTTTCAGGGGTCGTGCTCGAAATCTATCACGAGTGGTCGCGTGAAGTGTTATAGTAGTCCACCTTAAAACAATTACCGACTTCCTTTTAATAACAAAATCATATTTTCGTTAATATTTCGACAGGAATGCGTATCTAATTCGGTGATCAGTTGCAAAATCTTATATTATTAATTAACATGTTGATATATCACAAATGCCACGAAAGATTACACAAAATTGCATGTAATTTACTTTTAAACACACATACATAATTATGAATATGCGTATAGTGTTTTTTTAATCTTATCATGTTCTATACATCTGTACATTTGATTTCTTTTGCCTACGTGCAATAAATAAATCAGATTTTCAAATTGTTGAAACATTTTGGGCTTTACTCTGTAGGGGTTTTAGTATAAGATGAGCCCTTGCACAGATTTTCTGGGTCCTGGACATACCCATAATTTACACAGCTCAGCTGAGAACTATTACATGTATTGTTTCAATCAATAAATTGTCACTTTTCGAATGTCGATTGTGTGCCTTCAAATACTTTGATTCGGCTGTAAGATAAAACATTTTGAGCAAAGCTTTCAGTTCTGCTTCATCGGTAAAATATGCGTCACATTTTCCCTGACAACGAATTCCGATCTTCTTTTATATAAGCATTGGTAGACGGATCCGGAAAATTCGTCCTGAAACATTGTCGGATACTGTGAGTAAGTCTTTGAATTTCTTGCACTGAGTTTAGAAAATGACGGCCAATAGGTAATTCCCAGAAAACCAACGGCAAACTCATAATATCCTAGAAAATCACGTGAATTGTTTCAGATTCGAACCACGATTACCAAGGCGGCAGGCTAGAGTCTGACCACAGAGAACTGGTCGACTCAGAAATAACATTTATATAACACACACATGAAAAGTTAACTTCAATGTATCAATCTAGTAAGGGGGATAAGTAATGACGTTATTTGCATACAATGAGCGATGTGTCATTTAGTGAAAGCAACTCAAGCGAGAAATAACTCTACAGAAGTACTGCTGAGTCTTCAGCACACAATCTTGAATTTGAAAATCGTGATGAAAATAATTGATTGTATTATCTCACTGGTTTTCAGGATGAAAGAAAGGTAGACGATCGAAAGTCAAAAGTGTGGCTTATAAATTCGTGCATCAATGTAATACATTTTTGGAGCAAACCCTTTATTTTTTTCTTATCCAATGCTCAAACACTACAAAAGAAGTGAATACATCATTACAGAGAGGGGAGAAAAGCTAGACGTAGGCTTCAGAAGTAAAATAAAGGAACATCTCCGTATTTACAATACGGTGAAAGTGAATGAGAACTCGAAGGTGGGAAGGGTGGGGGTGACCCAGACCGAGAAGAAACTTACAAAGCAATACAGGCCCACTTCCTTCGATTCTTTGAACTCAAACCAATACCAGTAGTGGCGGGTGTAAAGACTTCTTTCAGTAGGGCGAACCTGCGATTGGAAGCAATGAAATTCGATTCAGGTAAAACACCAGAAACGTTCTTGGTACGTGTAACAACGGTCAGTTTGATCGCTATGAAAGGCCGACTGCTCTGATCACTGGTTTCCGGTGCCATGGACCACGGGCGATCTTTCATTGCACGAGAGTAATGCTAGGTAAAAGAACATAAAACAAGTTGATGGAGGTGAATTATGAATTTGCAGCACACGACCAAAGTGTCATTCTGTCACAGCAACTCTGCACATACATTTGTACAGCTGAATATTCACACAAGTTAGTTTTGGAGGGCATATGCGGAATGCGAAGTAAACATTCACAATGATTATCGACTCACTAGTTAATAAAAAAAGAAAGAAAAGTGAGATTTTGACGGACGAAAGGCAAAAATGCAGCTCTCAAATGCGCGCGCATCTCCGAAACAGTGGCTTGGAGCTTTTTGATTCTCTTTGCTCCAGAATTTAACACTGAAAAAGTGTGCCTAGCTAGAAGGGGGTGAGGTACATTTGTTGCCTAGTGATCAGTGAAAGCATTTCAGCAATTGCTTAATAACTCGATGGTCACGGAACAAAGAAACGTTGGAGATAGGTCACAGACCCTGAAGCTCTTAAAAATGCTAGGAGGAATCGAGAAGGGGATGCATTCGGTTGCAGCATTCAATAAGCGAGGTGTCATTCGTTGAAAGCAGGTGAAGCGTGCACCACACACATGCGTGGGGTGGGGTGGGGTGGGTTGGCTCACCTTGATGAGGAACACCTTGCCGCAGTGCGAGCAGGCGAAGACCTGGCTGGGGGCGTCGGCCGGGGAGCCGCCGCCGGGGGGCGCGGGCAGGCCCGCGCCCGCCGTGGCGGCTGAGCGGTGGTTTTGAGCGCTATCCCGCCCTGCGTGAAGCGTGCGCCGCATCTGACCGCACTCGTAGGGCGCGTCACCGTGTGCAGGCAGTGTGCTTCTATCAGATCGTTGCGCCGTGGCAAACGCCTTGCCGCCAGGGTTCCGCACGGTGGCACTTACCCTTAGCGTCGCGCGCCTCCGCCGCCGCCTGTGCCGCCCTTCCCCCCTTCCCCTCCCTCGCCCATTCCCCACCCTCGTGCGTCATCGCCCGCCCGCCCTCCGCCCGCGACGCCCTGTTAAAAACCCGCCCCCTGCATGACGCCTTCGCCGCCGTACCCGCCACGCTACCCTTCTCGCACGCACGCAATGATGGCGTGCTCCACTGTTGCTGGCATTTTTGTTTACCGTTTTTAAACACCGAACATGACAATAATATACTTATGACTTCTAGCTTCCTAGCACCTACGATTAAGGACTTTAACAATGTCTGGCACTAAACATGACTAGATATGATACAGAGCAATAGTGTTACTACAATGTGGCCATTATTTGGTTTCGGTTACATTTCTTCCACAACTCTTTTTCCTAATTTTCCATTCAAACAGATACTCGTTCTAGGCAAGAAAAAATATACATTGTTGTGAGTTTCAAAACTCTAGCATGCAAATCTACAACTATATCTTATTGACCTGGGATTTTGATTAGCCCTCGTGAAAACTATCTTTGGTCTGAGCATTTCAAATTCTATGACTGGTCTTCAATTCATGTTTTTCGCGTTCGACCTAGAAAAAGGAAGTACAAAGTCACCATTACAAGCACAGGCACATCGTTAAGAGAAGAGCACTCGTTTCTATATCACTGAATCTGTGCTATGTGAGCGTACGATTAGCTGACTAGCCTGTCAAATACATGTGAAAGAACACACACTCACCTTACAAACGCGTTACATGTGACATCGACCAGCCAAAACGGATATTTACAGGACCATGATGATGTCTGCAACTCACAGACGCTTCGTTTATCTAACTTCGGGCTACTTACGCCCGATTAATCCAGATGAAAACATATTGACTGAAAACAGTGTGAACAACTTCTCCACAGAATTTTCATTCATTGTGCAGATTACATTACAAAACGAAGCGTAGATAACAGCAACAATTATTTTAAATCAGCACCTATTCTCGTGTTGTAAACCGTTTAGCTTCATAAGAACTGCCAAACTTTTCAATTTCAATTTTTAATTAAGAAGAGTGAACCGACCGCAGTTGCCTAGTCTTCACAGCTGAGCGTAGGTATGGCGGTGCCCTCGAAAAGTGCTCTATCTCTTCTGAAAGACTATGATGGTAGTGAAAGTAGTGAAGAAGAAGTAACAGAAACAAGTAGTTCAAGGAAAAGGCCGGCTTCAAAACAATGGTTACCGAGTAACCATAAAAAATCAAACATTTCTGGTGTTGAAAGGTGAGAGGTATTGATGAAGTAGTACTTAACCTCTGAACATTAATTTTGAAAAATAAATTCTGTTCTTGTGTTAGGTTGCCATTACCTTCGCTTCTGAAATTATCTCAGGATTCACAAGATCCTCTCACAAATGATCCTGAGCTACATGATGGACGCATTCGTTCTTTTCCACATGAGAGAGGAAACTGGGCAACCTACATCTATATTCCATGTATGTTTTCTTTCAAGTATACTTCATAATATTTTCTCTTATCTGGGGAAATATTGGGGGGAATATGTTCTGGGGAAACATTTTATTTAAAATTATTGTTTCAGATAAAATGACACCATCAGTGGAGGCATTTATGGACGTTGTTGTGTCACGTTTGACAAACTTCAATCTAAAACCTGTTTCTGACTTTCACATTAGTCTTACAAAAACAGTTATTCTTAGACATCATTGGATTGACTTGTTTGTTAAATCAGTTCAGGAACGCACGAAAGCAATTCCAAGGTAAGCACTAACATTGCATTTTGCAGGGGTAATAATACTCTTTCAAAAAGTAAATTTGTAAAAAAAGAGCATACTCACAATACAAGTGTAAAGCAGTCATTTTATGCTGAACTAGGCTTGAGTTTGCTGTGCTGATATGTAAAGAATTGCTTACAAATTGATTGAAATCAAGTTGTATTAGGCTCTATCACTTCAATGTATATTCTAATTTTGTAGTCCTAACCTTTAGTTGACACTTGAGCGGGCATTTGTTCAAGTGGCAGAGAATATTTAAAAAGAAATTTGTGGTTTATTCTTAAAAGTATAGTTTCATGAATTTTGAACTTGTGAGTATTGTAACAACTTAACTCGTTACTAAAATAATTCTTAGCATACGAAAGGTAAACTATTTAACGAGTAATTACAGTATTTAACATATTCATTCCAAAAGAATTTTTAAAGGAAAATAAGTAATAGTTACTGTCTTAACATATTTTCAAAGAAATTAAATACACATAATTATTTGTTCATACTGTTAACCTTCTCAAATTTGAAGCTGAAGAGGACTTTTTCAGAAGATGAAATATACAATGTATTACAATTACTAATAGAAAGCGAAACATACAACAAATATACACAAACAATTAAACTTGAGTAGTAGAGATTTAGCTGCCTTGTTTACTTACATAATATTTAATTTACTGAAAGCAATGTGCAGATTAAAGTGTGAGTGAGTGATACAAGTATTGTTGAAACATTTTTTCTTGATTTCTTAACTGTGATCTAGAGATCATGTCACAATCAATGATTTCATGCCTTGTCATTCATTACTAATTTGTTGGTTTATAATTGTAAAGACAACTTTATGCAGCTGCAGTTTTAATATTTTGTATCTTGTATGCATTGCTCTGGAAATTTCAAATTTAAGAAGCGAGTCAGTCAGAAAATCTCAGATTTAATTTTGAAAATCTTTTTGAAGTGTAGAGGTTGTTTTCTCAAAGGGGAATTATCATAATTTTAATGAATTAGGTTTTATTGTATAAAAACAGGCTATTAAATAACGTAAAGTATGTTCTCAGAATAATTAAAATTTGTTTAACTTTAGAACATTAAAAGAAACATTAAGAAATGTGAATATAAAATATTCACTGAAAGATTTCTCCTCAAGTAAATGCTTCGTTTTAGAAGCAAAATGCTGACTGATTTTCAGTGCTGGCGCTGGGCATAGGCAAACCTGGCGATCACCTGAGTCCCTGCAAGTCAAGGGGCCCAATGATGGGACTAATGGGAAAAAAATATTAAATTACATAACTTTCCCTATACTATGTATATTACTCCGTGTATATGTATGTATATGGAAAGTAAAAATTGAAAATGAAATTAGAACCTGGGAAATTCTATATCATAATTTTATAAGTTGCGATACAGTAGTCTGATATTTTATAAAATTTTTAAGTTTACTTATATTTTATTTAATATATATATATATATATATAATATATATATATATATAATATATATATAATATATTATAATGTATATTAATAAGTCATTTTCATTATACCACTGACAAAACTCAACAATTGTTTTTAGCGTTTTAAGATCACCATAGAAATTGTATTATTTGAAATACTTTTTCTTAAAACTATTACTATTTAAAATACATTGCCAAAAACTACTTATAGTGTAAACGTATTTTTTGTTATTTATTGAAATAAAATAATTCATGGTTTCTTGATGCAACTTTCACATTTTTAATTTTTTCAGGGTCTACATTTCAGAATTGCCCTGGGCCTAAAATTGTCTAGCTCTAGCACTGCTAATTGTGTATTGTATTGTAGATTTCAGATCAGCTTCGGATCAGTAAAAATTTACTGTAATGAAACCCGTACACGCACTTTTGTTGGTTTGGAGATATCGGAAGGTTTAGAAGAGCTCAAGAGAAGTATTAATGTGTTAGATAAATGTCTCGCTGAATTTAATCTGCCTCCTTACTATCAGGTAAAAGCGCTTTCTGAGTCTGTGTTTCAGTGATGTAATATTTTCTAAACACAACAATTTAATTATCCATGTATGTTGCTATTTGGTCTTCTGTATAGCTTACATTATAAACTATCAATTAAAAAAATTTTTTTTTTAATTGAATTGCCCATAATTTAAGATAATGATAATCCTTTTTTAATGTTTTTTTCATTCTTTGTTACATGCTTCAAGGATCCTTCTTTCCATCTTAGTATCGGCTGGGTTGTAGGCGATGCTGAAGAACAAATGACTACAGTTCTCCCGCAATTAGACATCAGTTTTAAACAGTTTATTTTTGCAAATGCTGCCCAATGGGCATTTCCTGTCACACAATTTTTATGCAAAACGGGAAATAAATTCTTTGCTTTCCAGCTAGTAAGTTGACCAGTGCCTGATGGAAACTAAAAAAAACATTTTAAGATGTGTGTTTGTAGATACATACAAGGATAGCCTATGTAAATAGTCTGTGATATTAAATGAGAAACTGAACAACTGCAAACAATAATTGACATGCAAAATATTTTTGAACAAAATGTATTAGAATTTGTTACCTTGATTAGCAAGATCACAAATGTAAAAGGCCCTTTTCATGGTAAGAAATGAATGATAATATCATGATACACATTTACCAATTTGTAATATTACTCCCATGTTCTTAAATGTATATATTGTAAAATATTCAGTCAATAATAAGTTGATATTGAAATGTATTGAATCATTTAATATTGTTTCATTAATTTTCTTATCATGCATTTTAGACAGAAATGTAATTTTGACATCACTATATTATGACTAGGTTCTCATTATTTTATGATAATTTGCCGAATGGTGCATAAAAACTACTGAAATTTGCTGAACGGTGCATAAAACATATTATTTTGTGGCCCCTCAGCCCCAATTAATTCTTTGTGGCCTTTGTCTGTGCCTAGTATATTTTTCCATTTTAACATAAGCAAATAATCAGAACTCAGAAAAGTTAAACATTAATTAGGATAAATATCAATTTTTTGACTGGCCAAACTCCATATATTTTTATTTTAATATGTGGTTCAAAACCACTTATCACATAGATCCTTGGCTTCAGCCTTTCAACTCGACCTTTCCTCTAACACCTTTCCATTTTTTTCATGTTCTCAATTTTTCTTGAATGAATTAATTAGAAATCTTCAACCCATCAGGACATTACACATCTTCAAGTGAAGCTGTGAGAGGACAGTCCCTACCACTGAGCTTAACCTACACTGTAGCCACAACAGTCATGGCATGAGCAGCATGCATAGTTAGGTAGTAACTTGGTACTTTTAAAAAAGTACAGCTCAATGGATCACTGACCATTCTAAACATGAAAAAAAACTAAGAATTTGGTATTGTGATCCAATCAATAGTAGCTACTTCTAATGTGAGAGGTATAGCCAGCGTAAAGAATTTGACATGAAACTAAATACAAATGGAATAGATATTACTATTAAAACAGAAACAAAAGAAAATATCGAAGTACATAAGGCCTAACCATTACTCATTGATCTCAAAATAGAGTACAAACATTTTTGTTATTAAAAGGAGAAACAAAACCATTGGTAAAACTATTCCTTCATAAGTAAAATAACTGATTCACATAAATTTAAAATACATGAAGAACACTTAAGAATAATTGGTGTTCATTTTCTTAAAGAGGATGAGAGAAATGATATCAAAATGTTTGATGATATAATAAAACATTTTGATTTAATAAACATTTATATTGTTAACAGTCGCATACCTTAATAATGAACTAGTAGACCTATAAGAACTCTTGCGCTATTTCTAAATTTGCAATTTACCGAAATCCAGAGAGTTCAAAGAAAATGAGATGTGCATCATTCATTTAAGTATTTTTTGTTCTGTCTGTGAAAAAAAATTGAAAATAAAATGTTGTGTGATTTATTAGATTTCCCCCCCATAAAATTGCATTAATTCCAAGCACAAATTTTGCAAAAACCACTCATTTTTTCAAAAAGTTGTATATGACCCTTTTTAAAGTGCTGACTTTTTAGACCAGATTTTTTGTGTAATTTTTTAAATATCTTTAGTATTTACATTACATGTTTTTCCTTTTACATTATCGCAAATGTAAGAGCAATTGCTTCAAATGATTTTGTATGAAGTAGCTCAAAAAATCAAAATTTTTTTGGTGAAAATGGGAATCGAAATGCATGTGTTTAGAATTGCTTAAACATTTTCTCAAATGATTAAAGATGAAGGAAGACACCGAAAAGAAATTGAAATTTGCCAGAAAGTAGGGATTGCAATGAAACCATGGCCCCCACTATTTATTTAAGAGTTCATGTTACCAGAGGATAAAGTTTAATACAACAATTTTGAGAAGCATTTGAAAATGTTGAAACTTCATGTAAGGTACCCCAAAAAACAAAATATAAGTTTAAAACTCACTGGACCTCGAGTTAGTTCAGATTGATCGGGGAATATGAATTTGGAGAAAAATGTCTGAACTGTTTAGGAGCATTGACCACAGACAGTACGTTTTACCGTCAATCGATTTTTCGGTATCAAGGGCCCACAGAACATGGATTCTACTAAACAATTTTCAATGTTCCATTAAATAGCAAACACTAACTAAATAATTCCTATTTTAGGATTCTCTGGGTTCCTGAGACTTCCCCACAAGACCAGCATTGCTGGTAGTAAATGCAGAAAAAGAAAAAGTTTCTTCAGTGCATTTACTGCCACAAATGCTAAATTGCTCCATTATAATTGTGTGTAGACCTTAAAAGAGCTTCTGAGAGCAATTAACGAGGTAGTAGATCGCCTCGAAACGCGATTCCCAACGTCTTAAGGGCACTTGGATCTTGGCACAGCGCCAGAGGTTGCAACCACCACTGGCAGAATTCTGGCGTTGGGTACTCCATGAAGTTGAGCTGCCAGAGGAATGACTTGTATTTTACTACCTTCTCCTCTCCTCCTTTCAGGAGGCTAGACTACCCTCGTAGCGGACAGTCACATCGACCACGTATTCCCCTTCCCGGAGTTTTATTACCAGATCAGCTTAGAATCTAACCCCTTTGGCAACGGAGAAAGTGGCTTCCGTGGACACCACGGTGTCCGATTTCCGAAGTATCTTCCCCTGTATGAAGTTCTTGATCTCATCATGACGCTTTATTCTTGCTGGCTTCGTGAAAATGCACTGACTGAAGATATGATTGATGGTTTCTACAGTTGTATTCAACTTCCTGCAGTGGAAACCCTCTCTGGGCCTTCCTCTGCTACGAGTTCTTTTATAGGCAGTGGTATTTGACGTCAATTGGAGTGGAGTGATAAAAGACCATGTTTCAGAAGATAATATTTCTAAAAGGCTTTTCCAATCCGATCGTATATATGCACCTTAACAGCTCTCCCTTGGGATCCCAGCTTCTGCCAGGCGGCTCGTCATCGGCACATTTCGTATACGCTCTTAAATCTTGCCGAGTCTCAGTGTTTTGGCGGTATTTAATGTCCGTTGGTAGAAACTAGGACAAGAGCTCAGCAATCTGCAAATTTTTCTAATCATAATCCTGGATTCAGCGCTACTGTAGGGAACGTAATGGGCGAGCCGCAGCCATCCCAGTCCTCCATCTCTCTTGGCCAGGTAGAATAAGCCATCTGCAGTACTCATATGCAAATGTACGAACTGTTTGACTGCCACTCTGATTTGACCGTCCGCTTCCCTGAGCATTAACATAGATAACACGGATAAAACCAAGTGGGAGAGGTAATGTGGCATTATTTAGGTATGAAGTAATGCCAACTTCTGAGTGGACTTTAAATGCGCCGACTGAAACCTTACTACTTCCAACAAACTCGATATCGATACTTTAGATGGGAACCCGTTCCAGATATAGTTCACTCCCAGATACGTAAGTGTATGGTCATTACTGACCCAAGGAATTCTCTCCCCAACCTTTCCAGGCAGGGGTCCTCAAAGTACTAGGATCATTCAAAGGTAATGTGAAATGAACATTTCGAGACGGACAATGTCATTCCGAGGGCCCCACGATATTCCACAATATCAACCAATTCTTGAGCTCCAGGGCCATCGTTTGCTAACAGCGCCAGATCGTCAGTAAATGCTAGCACGGATACAATCCTTTCCAATGGCGTGTATCCTGATTCCAATTTTCCAATTTCTCAAGCAGACACGCCATATCGAGATTAAAAAGGAGAGGGGTCAAGGGGTTCCCGTTTTACTCTACGCTCAATTGATGATGCCTGAAGTTATGTGGCTAACGTTTATTTTATCTGGTCCTGGCGCCGTAGCAGAGTCGCGTTGACGCCCATGAATGTGGCCCCACAGCTGAGCGACAAGCTGCCGATGGCGCGCGGAGCCGCGGTGGGCAATGCGACCGAGGTCGCAACGCACGTAGAGGAAGCGGTAGAGCGACGTCTGTGCGAACGCTTCCGGACCGGCCACTGCTGTATTAATGCCTGGCCCTGGAGATGCGAACCCAAACAAACTTACCCCTTTCGCGCCTCTTCACGAATGACCAGCCCGCCCCGTCACATCCGCGGCACAACTACTTAAACCCCGGAGGAACTTACGGAAACTGTGGGCGAAAAAAGCATCAGTGGCATTCAGATGTCCTCTGATTAAAAGTATTTTCTTATCACACCACCCCCCGCGCCGACGGCGCTGCAGCGGATATCGCGGCGCCGGATCAGCAACCCCGCTCATACAAGCGGCATCAGAGGAAGCTGATGCGGGCGCTGGCGGGTAAGAACAAGCCGCCCCAAGTGTTAGTGGCTCCCCAGACACTCCCGATGGACTTCCACGTCTGCAGTTGTACTCTGGCGGCCCCCGCCCAGAGATGCGGCCTGTAGACGGGCCGGTTGCCTCCAAGGCCGAAGACGAGGGCGACTACCCTGCTGGTGGCTCCGCGGAGGCCGAGTAGCAGAGGTCGCGCCTTACGAGAATCCAACCGTCTTCCTCTTGGCCTCCGCACGAATTGCCTCACCAGACGCTGTCTAGTGCCCACAGACGGGCCTCCGGAACCACCAGAAAAATACAAACTCTTGCTTCCACCATCCGCCACTGGGACAATGCGTTGCAGCTAGTAGGCAGCGGAGACGAGCGTCAAGAACGGTCAACGGCACAATTCCTCGGCGGGCCCCTGCGGACGCAATGGCCGCTGAGCAGCCCCCTCCCGGGAGGCGTCATGATCATGGCCAAAACCCGGAGACACGTGGGCGGTCTACACAGCATCTACCAGGCGGCGGACGGGAGTGATCTGCGACTACAAAGCATATTCGCCCAGACTTTAAAGGGTCAAGGGACTATCTCTTCTTCCTCTTGCCCGGGGAGGAAGTTAGGTCACCGGTCGGCAAGTTCGAGCACGCAGCTCGACTAAGACTGTAATAAACATTTAAACAGCCAGCCCAACAGGTCACGTTTTGCCACCGAGTCTAGATGCTTGGTAATGTGATGACCCGCAAATTCCCCGCACAGGTCGTATCTGATTGCACCTCTCATTCGCGGCCGTGGCAACTGCGACAGACTAGAACTCGAGCACGTCAAAGATGCCGTGGTCGCGAGGACTGGGGAGGGGGGTCGAGCGTCCTGTACGGCAAACCAGGTCGTTGTTCAGGGAGGACGTCCCGATCTCGTGACTGCTAAGGATCACACCGCGGCGAAGAGGTCGCTTTCGCCGTTGTGTAGAACGATCGCCTGCAGGTGGTGTATCTTCATGAGGAACAAATACATGCCCTCCAAGCAAAGCTATTGAGCAGGTACTACGGTGCTGTGGAGCGGTGTTTGGCGACAAGCGTTGCCCTGAAGAGATTTTCCTCGAGACAATCTCCGCCAGCGCTGCGTGCTACTTCCGCCACATCGGCTGAGATGAACTTGTATCCTACGAGTAGTCAAAGCCCATGCAGTTTGGTGCGCAGCGGATGGCCCTTGCCTGCGACGCACTCGTGAAAACGCTCATGCAGGCCGTTTTACGAATGAGCCAGAATGACTTGCCCCCCCTCCCCCGATGATGCTTAAAAATTTAAAACTATTTTGTTTATAATAATAAAACGGACTACAGAATCTGCGATAGAACTGTGTGTGTGCTCCTCCATGCATATTTCTTGGACTAGCCTAATATTGGCAAGCACTGAAGATTTTTAATTCCACACTGATGTTAAATAAGATTAGTTTAGTACCCCCAATTCCATGTAAACCAAATATTAAGAAAATAATGTCTCAGAGGGATAATACTTCAAAAAACCACATAAACAAAAGCCCATTGTTTGTATCAAGAATTGGAAGAAAACAATACCTTAGTAAATAATTTAAAGAAAATTAATTGCACAAGACCCTTGATGTCTAAACATGAAAAAGTAAATTAACACATTTCTTGAAGAAAAACATTTATTACATAACCAGATACATCATTTATCCAAGCTTGTTAGAGGGCTGGGTATAAAAATACTACTAGCATAGTTACCATCAGCAATTTATCAAGATTAAAGAGGCATTTTACTAATTAAAGAACATCTAATTGACTATTCATCCAAGTGCTAAAATCTGCAATATACCACACCTAACTTTAAGATGTGAAATGCAAATGCATGTTGACCGGGTAGAGTGGATGGCACACAAATCCAGCCCACAGCCATTATTTTGTACAACTTTGTATTAGTCACTTCAGCCAAATAATACAATTACATTGAGCTAATGAATAGCAAATAATTTCTATAATTTCCAAAAGTATATACATAACAAATAGTATATTTTACTTCTCAGTAACTACGTTACATCTCAAGTTTGGAAACTTTTCTATTTACTCTAGGCCTCTTCCCAAAATACAAACATTTATCATTAGTTTCTTGACAGCTGTATTTAAATGCTCTCCACACCCCTCCCAAAAAAAAACCCAACGAAAATTCACAATACAATAAGTGCCAAGACTTGGACCTATTAACTTCACCATGGATATTTTAATTAAACATAAAGGCTGAGAATTAGCACAAGTCATGGCAAAATTATTGGGTCTTTAAAATTTGCTTGTCATTATTGAGTGGTAGCAGAGTACAAGGCACCCAAGACTACTATGCATGAAGGGTGTGTATCCTGTAGGCAAACCTGCCCCCCAAAAAACCTGATTGCAGTTTTCTGCTATTTCTCTTATACTTAAATATTCTCCCTCAATCATGACCAGCCAGGGCTCTGTATTCTTTGTTTTAAAAATAATTCTCTTATCTGCATTGTAGTAATATTAAGGAATAATCTTTAAAAGAAATATTCAGTTGATGTTACGGATTCTTTTTATCACAGAATAATTTGAACAGGAACCCTTTAATGAAAAATGGTGTGGGCACTTATTTGGGGGCCATAGTGCAGCGCATCAACCAAACTACGCCACGACTCAGCATTCAATGTAACTTAGTATTCTAATGTATAAATAATTTTTCAAATATTTTTATTTACAATATAATACTGATTATAATCAATAAATCCTCTTAAATAAAATCAATTTCTAACTTACTAACAAGGACAGATATTCAATTAAACCTTTGTTTCTTATAACATTTCACACTATTGCATTGTTCTACACTAGTTCAGCCCAGTGTTGCCAGGTGGTATTAACCATTTCCCGCTACATAGCACGGTGAAAATCAAAATAATTATTATTTCATGTTTAAAATATATGAGGAAGTATGGGAATTAAAGAAATATGAAAAATATTATGAATAGCATGTGATATTTATATTTTCAAGTTAACACCTATATTTGTAATGTATAAAAATATGTACAACTATTTATATACTTATATATATATATATACAATCATTGTATAAATTTTGTTAAAGGGAGTTACACAATGTGTGTGAGTTATGACACATAAGAGGTACCTTTGTCTCAATCATTGCAATGACTAAGCTGCAGATTTTTGCCTACTTGCCTATTTCTTCCTTCAAAGGAAAACACAATCTTTTAGGTTACTTATTCATTTTGAGGCATTAGGAGTATTACATGCTAATTTCATATTGTCTATAAATGTGCATTTTGTGTTTAAATGCCAAAATGTTGCCTATTCTCGTATTTATTGATCAAAATGCAATTATCCTTAATCAAAAATAAAATATAGGTTTTTTCGTTTTTATCCATCAGAGTACAGAGAAATAGAACAGGTATCAATACATCTATGTTACGTTTTACTGCCACTACAGTGCAGCTATTTCGTATTATAAAACATGCAAAATCACTGGTGGTCAAATTATATTTCAAATTTTTTAACATTTTTTTTTTTTTTTTAAATTTCTCTGCGAATGTATTGGAGGATGGATTGGTGTTGATCCAGTTTTCAGAAACTCTTTACTTTTTAAAATTGGAAAAGTACAATATTGAAAACTCAAGAATGATTTTTTTTTAAAGCAGGTGTTCTCTTTTTTTTTTTTTTTTTTTTTTTTTTTTTTTTTTTTTTTTTTTTTTTTTTTTTTTTTTTTTTTTTTCCGCACTCATAGAACAAAGGACTCTTAAAAGAATGGCATGTATCTCATTTTCATTGAACTCTCTGAATTTTTGAAAATGGCAAATTTTGAAGTTATATTTTTAGATATAATGCAAGAGAGTAAATGATATTCCAGTAACTCTACTTACATTTGTGTGATGCATGGCGATGAAAACAAATCACACAAACAGCTTGCATTTAATGAAAAGCAAATAGGTAGTAACTGCTCTTCAGCCTTTTTCTCTGAATTGCCCAACAATGATTGAAATGAGAATTTGTCAGAGTGAAAAAACAAACATACCATGAAGATAACTATATTACGTGCACTTCAGAAACTTTCTACACAAGTACATAAATAAGCATAAGAAAAATATAGAGTGTCTTTTTAAAGGCTATTTTATATTTTTAAATACCTATTTTGTCTGCCTATAAATCTGCAGCCTTGTAATAACTCAACAGGACATAATATCTCTTTGAAAAAACTTTCCTTTAACCAAAATGGTTGTTTCCATTACTGGCTTATTGCTATGATTCAATCCTTTTCTGAATGAGTTGCACTCTTCTATCAATCTTTGGTTGTGACAAACAACCACCAACTTAAAAAATAGGATTCGTTCAAACGATCTTCGAGCCTCTAAGTGTTTTTACTACACTTTGTTTTATTTGAATAAACATACCTGCAGTAATCATTGACAACTATTTTTGCAGTTTTACACACAATAGATTTTTTTTAACTCAATGAAAACCCCAAAATAAATTTGCCCTCTAAAACATCCACAAGACAAAACAAAAACCTAAATTTTGTGGGGGAAATGTTAATCTGACAACACTGGTTCAGCCAGCAAATATTACATTTAAAGAGGAAAATATGATTCTAATGTTAAAAACCCTTTTCAAATTGCAGATATGAAAAGGAGTGTCAGGATGTTCATTATCTACCAAAAATTTTGGTGCAGAAATAGAAGGAAACACTTGCTTCTTATTCGATGTTTATCAACAAGTCATGCTTTTTCCCTTTAGGCTCATCCATAAATTCGTCACACAAATCTGGAATATTTAGGATACCCCTCTCCATTGAACCCTCCTAAATAATTATGTAATGCTTGTGTCACTCATAAACGGTAAAAATGATTTGTATTAATTTTATTTGGGTTTTGTATGAAGATGTGTAATAATTAAATTAGTTTAATATATAAATCAGAAACAGAGACATTTTCTCATGCACTAAAACTACTATATTTGAGGTTTCCTTTTTCCTAGCCAATAACTTCACTTTAGTAATATTGAATAATTCGATAAAACTGAATATAGTTCCATTAACATGTGAATAAAGAAAGAGAGGGGAGACAGGAAATTCATTATAGCGCAGTCCCGGTTTTACTAAAATATGCAGTATCTTGATCACTGCCATTGACTTCCAAGAGCACCATGAATTGTAAGAAGCCACTGAGCACAATACACATGTAGTTTACAATTGAATTTTTTGATCCTTCTGAATTTTCTAAAACAAAACTCTCTACTGAATAAATCAAAATATTTTCTTATAACTTAATAGCATCAGCAAAAGGATGAGGAATCCCTATATTACCTACTTTACTTGGACCCTTTCGAATCTGAATATAACCTAAAACCTTACACTCCAATAAAGTCAAAAAAGCCACACCGATTAATACAAAAAAGGTTCAGGCCCTAGTAATCACCCCCTCTAATAATCATGACAATGGGTGGCTCTGGCGTTACGATGCAAAACATACAGTAGTGAAGGTTAATTAACTGTTTGTAATACTATTCATATGTACATGATTACAAAATGAATTTCAACTCACATCAATTACACCCACCAAATAAAACCTTAATTTTACCAACTGTCAGAATAAGTTGGCAAATTTGACAGCACCAAACAAAAATACTCGACAGTAATTTGAGAGAAGGCGGCATAGGCAAAAAATGTCTGCCAGCAAGCTGGGCAGATGCAATCATGAATAAAGTATGAGTGGGAGTCTCCAGTCCGTTTTCAATTGAATTTTTATAAATTATTATACAATAGGTTTGAATATTTTCTTCATAATCTAACATGTTAAATTATCAGATCGATGAAAAAAATATTTCTATTTATTATAACAACTTTTTTAATTTATATTTATAATATATTTTAATCTCTGTAGTCTTAGTTTAAGACAGACTATAAGGGATTACTGCAAATATTTAAAATTTGTAACTATAAAATAATGCAACACCTGTAACAGCACAATTGCTTCACCCCCCACTTCAAGCGATATACATTTAATGGATGACCCCATTACTAGTTTTTGACACTACATTGCTGTAAAGTTGTTTTTTAAAGTAATCTTCGTAACCCTGCCAAAGTACATTGTTCAAAATTAGCTTATTTCTACCTAACACGGTGAGAAAATATCTGGTTCATATAAATCCTTGTGTAGTCACGAGAAGACATTGTATAAATCTTGTAAAATAGCTGTGAATGTCATGAGCTATTTTTAAGAGCCTGTTATTGTGATTTATAGGATTTGGAAGCATATACCATAATGGCCAATGAAAATGCAGGAATACAAATATACTGTATTTACCCAAATACAAGTCAACTCGTTAAGTATGAAAAAGCCTCAGAATTTGAAAAATGTAAACAAATTCTTACTACTTAGACAGAAAACCGCTAATTGATGTGCTGATGAGCTTTCTGCTATTTTATTAGGCTATGCTTATTCTGCTTTACATAATATTATGCAACATTTTAAGGAAGAGTTTATCTTCAACCCCAAAGAATGCAAAAAGATACTTTTACACTGGTTGCTGTTCATTTTAATTTATTAAGAATATTTGTGGAATTTTTTTATGTAAGTCACCACATTTAATTTTTAAATTGAGTGTTAATACAATTATATTTTAGTTTTAATATGTTTTTTTACTATATCTTGTACAATTTTTAAAGTTGGAAACATTTTATTTAGTGCAGTGGCTTTGTTAAATTTGCTGTTTATTCTTTGTAGCCTGAGGATGAGGAAAAAAATCTTCCTGCAAATGTAACATCATGTAAAGAAGAATAAAAACTTGTAGCTTTTTCTTTTTTTTTTTTCTATAGCAATTTTCACTTCTAAAGAATTTTCTGTAATTGTCAAAAAACTCCAGTGACCAAATATCTCCTGACGTATTGAATTAACTTTGACAGACTAACATTTTATCCAAATAAATGCATTTTGACACCACACTAAAAAATTACTATTTTGGCAGTTGTCTTACAGGCTATTCAGAATACATTTATGTACTCCTACTAGAATTTAGAAATTACATCTGGTAATTTCAGAACTCATTCAGCAACAGCTGGATGTTGCTTCCCCATACATTCTCTTCCCACCAGAAGTAAACCAGATCTTACCTCCCCAAAATTGAAAATCAAAATGCATATTTACAGTGAAACTCTGTTTATACTTTTTGCAAGTCCTGGATAAATTCTACAACTCCATAGAGAAAATATCTATTTTCAAAAGCTGTTATCTTCCACTTTTTTCTTTTCTCTTTTATTCTTCATTAAAGTTCTCATTTATAATTAAAATGTTGGGAAGAGATTCTGGAGCTCATGAAAATGTGCACAGATGGTACTTCTTCCCCATACATCAGATAGCATTTAAATAAAGCAAAAGTTCCAGGACCTGGACACAGTTCTTGCAAGGTCCCAGAGGAGAGGAGTGGAGTGGAGTTCAAAATATTAAGTTTTTATTTTGCTCATAATATTTAATTTCAGTTATGTATTTTTCTCACTAATACATTTTTTTTCCTTTTCAGTCTTTTTCTTAGTTTCTCTCTGCTCTGAAGGAATCTCCAGCATGCTTCACAACAAAGGGAAGAATTTTTTTTTTTATTTATTGAGAAAGAAATGGCAAATATTATGAAGGCAATAAATAGAGGAACTACATTGAAACAATCCTCATTAAATATTAAGTTTACTCTTTGTTTTGACACATCCCTAGCCTGAAGTAATAAATGAAAATTAACCCAGTATTTACAAAAATGTCCGTTACAATCAATAACAAGACACTCCATAAACACACTATTTCATATTTGAGAAATTTCTATAATATAGAAGCATGACTTGCATAAAACCCATTTATTAACTTCTAGAACTTGGAAATTACATTTAGTACAAAAGGATAAGAATACAAGTTCATTTGAAAATTTGCATCATGCAACATCTGCAATTTGAAAGCAGGGTCAACATCAATTCAAATCAAAAGATTTTTCTATTTTTATTCACAAGAACATGTGATTAAAATAAACAATGCTCATATCCATCACGTAAAACAAATCAGTCACTAACTAACCTTCCCAGATCTACAAGGTAGTGTTCATTTTCAACAAGTTTATAGAGTAGATGATGAGCTGCACGTTTTATTTATAAGAATACTTCTTTTAACATATTGCACTACTTTGTAATAATTTTAAATAAATCAACAATATAAAAGCTTAAACTAAAACAATAATCAGTCACATTAAATTTTCTTGTGCCTTGTTTGTTTCAAGGAAATTGGATAATATCAGCTGGACCTTACATTTACAACTATTTCATTCGTGAAATAAACACCAAAAACATTTTCAGCATTGAACTATAAATCTGGTATGCACCAATGAAGACCACTTATCCCCCCAGAAATTATCACAATTTCTTACCACCTTCTTGCTGGCCAATCACAAGGTGAGATACATCAATCATTGGAAGTACTTAGAGAGCAAACACAAGATAATTAGTATTAGGAGCATTCTGAACATTTTTTGAGGCAATTCATTTATGAAATAGTTTCATTTAATATCACTTGTGGATTGGAAATTTCCAGATAAATACCACTGCATTAGTTGTATTACCAATGATAAATGTTTGAACTTTTTCCTCTCTAATAAAGGAACAAGAAAGTCGTGGGATACATTTTAAACAACAGTTTCTGACAAATCCTTTTAGAAAATGTCTCCTGTTTTCCAAGTACTGAAATCTAGGACACAAAATCTACATCTACAAAAATAAAGCATGAACAAACAGGAAATAATTAAATATATTACATTAATCCCCAGAAATGCCTGAACTGCGAGAAAAATAAGTTAAGTATTACTTGACCACAAATCATCATATTCATTTATACAAATGAAAAGTTTCTAGACAAAAAGTAAATGAATCTGAAACCATGAACTTCAAGTTTTCTGAATCAGGAATAGCATATGAAATATTGAAGAGCATGACATTAGCACTAAAAATTTGCTCTCACAATAAATGTCTTTCGCATCAATAAGTGATACAATTTATTTGTCTTATAAACCAAGTTGATTTTCACTTGCCGGTAACAAAAAAAAAAATTGGATTTGCACAAATATAATTACATCCGACAAATTCTTACCTGCAATCATCAGTTGATATACTATATGCATAATAAATAAAAGGGAACAACGACAATATTATTTTAAGGGAAATATCAATGCAAACCATCTCCCAGAAAATTGTCAGTCCGATGTCAATTTCCAATAATGTGAAAAAGGTTTTGGAAAAATGGCAACTGGGGTTAGGTAGCTATTCCAAAACACTTGAAATATTAAAATATAACAGAATGTTTTGACAAGTTTCTCAATGATTACCAAAGTAGTAATTAAATTTATTCTCCATTCACACATTTATTTTTGGAAGAATACATTGTGATGCAGGACTGTTGGTGTCCCCATAAATCTAAAAATGCACATATCTCTATAGAGCATGAAGGTCACTTTTGAAAACAAAAGTAGTATAATCAAGGATTTAGGTAATAGTTTTATTATAACCATTTTTATAATAATTCATCTATATTGGAAATTAAAAACGTTACCTATAGATTACTTGTATCAACTTTGCTACCAGTCCTCTGGTATTAGTAGAAAACAAAATTAATGAAATAAACTTTCAGTTGATCTTCATTGTATCTTCAACTTTCGTAAACAGAAAAAATAAAACAATTGTATTTGAAAAATATAATCTGAACTCAGAAAACATGAAAATTTTAGAGTATTTTCAATAGAAATAAAAATTAAAAATGTAAATCTTAATCTCCTATTTTAGGCGTCTGTGCTTTATGAACAGACTTTAACTCTTATGAAAAAAGCAGAGCAAGAAAACTATCCAAACGCTTCTCTTGGTAAATATCACGTAAACACCCTTATACGTGACTCTTTTCCTCTTACAATTTTCACAAATAACATTTTTAAAATAATTCTTTAAAAAATTCATTTTCTATCTCTGAATACTTCACAAATAATATATTTAAAATAATTGTAAATAAAACTATAAAATTCTTTTTAAAAAAGGAATAAGAGATTCAATCCTAACATGAAGTTACTACACGTCTACTACTCACCTACTGTTTTGTTAATGTACCGAGTAAATATACTCAGAAATGAACATTTTGCTCTAAGCACAGGTTATAAAATTTTACATAAAACTTCAAGATATTAGGATTAACACAATGTTTTCCCTAGTTTCTTTTTCAATGATGTCCACAGTAACTGTTTGCTTTTGTTGCTTTTGCTGAAGTTCCAATTTATATTAACTTGTTCATATTTAGATCGTGCACTTCATTTTATCTTGATGCACTTATTTTCACTCAGCATTGAAGTATGTTGTTCTATAAGAATAAAAACAAAGACAGTGATTTGTTTCATAATCTATAATAAAATTTTCTATTGAACATTATTGAAATTAAAAGAATAAAAAGTATAATAAAAGAATAGGACAACTAGGGATGTGATGTATGTGTGGAAAATCTGATGACTTAGATTTCTGAATTGTTGTGGAGGGAAGCACATTGAATTTTGTAGAGAATCCATGAACAACGCAGCATTAAGATGAAGGGATGAAGATGGAGGGAGCAATCACACTCTGGTGTGGAGGGACCACTGTATTCTAGCAAGAAGGGGCAAGCTCAGAAATATACTGACTGTTGTAGGGAGTAGAATTGGATTAGAGAAACAGCAGCAGGAAGCCTCTGATGACCATTATTATGTGTGCGAGTAGTTCAAATAAGGCAACATACTGACATTACTTTACATTGTAATATGCATTTTAATGCAATAAAAGAAGTAATAGTAAATATTCTAAACTGTCTGCAAGGTTGAAATTTTGGTTCAGGTATAAATACCCGGTGATTATTAATTTCTTATGTATAACATTACTAAGATATTAATTTACTATAAAATTAAACTATTAATACATCAGTAGTAGATAACGAATATTTTAAAACTCTTTTACAAAATTAATTATCACTATTTACAGAAGGAAACTTATTTTGCCCCCCTCGTGAATGGAAGTGAAGTTTAGGAAAGATTTTGTTACATGTAATATATTTTGATACTGGCATAGCGAATAGGTGAAAAATCATTTTTCACCCTTCAACATTACATACTCAATGTTAAAAAAATTATTTAATATGGAAGTGATATGTAAATAGTTAAATAACTACCAAAAAATTGATATTGCATCTTTTTTAAAACTAAATTGGCAATGTACATTTATATTTTTATGTTCTCTTTTGTTCCACAAAAGAGATTTTGTATCCTATCGATCAATTAATCACATTTTCTGTTTTTATTATAATTCATTGAGAGTTATTAATGTGAAAGCTGCTTTCTACTTGCCACGTCGGAACAATAGTGAGCTATAACCTCACTTAAGTTCATGTGGCATCACTGAATGACATCACCAAATTCAGCAATAAAAAGTCCTAATGTAAAACAATCAGCATCTTGCCAGAAAAGATATTGCTCAGATCTCTCTGGTAATATATTGTCCCACCTTGCTCTTGCTACTGTTATGATAACCGCAAGATGCAGAAACACATTGCACAAACTTAAGGCTTATGTAAGGGTAGTATTACTGCTTGGAATCTGCAGGATTGGTAACTGCAAGAGTAGTTGCAGTTTGTAACCTTCTAAAAACTTAAAATCTGCTCTTGCTGAAATCTTTGCAGATCGTAATGATCCATGTCTGAAATATAGAATTATTTACAAGAAGTAAGAAACAACTGGTACTTCTCCCAAGAACTTCCTGAAGAGCCGACATTTTACTACGTGGACTCAAATTCAACTGGTAAGGGTCTTGAGAAAATCCTATGCACCAAATCAAAAGAAAGCTCTCTGGTGTTCAGGTGATGCTGCAGCGATAGCAGTGATGCCCACGTTTCAACCATGTGGTCTCCAGGGCTGGATGGTGAGCATTCAGGATTTATGAAGAGTGATTTTATAAAAAATGGGAAGTTTTAACAGCTAGTGCTGGCAACACAACTGAAGGTTCTGTGGTCGTTGTGTCCTTGAGCCTATTAGACTCTCCTTCCTCCATTTGTTCATTTGCAGTTGGCTAACTTGTAAATGGCTTCGACACTTCCTTTTGTGATGTCCTCGTCCAAAAAAATGTAGTGTGCCATGAGAATTAATTGAAATTAGGGAGTGCTATGTGCTCTTCTGTAAAAATTCTTTTTTTATAAATATTACATCAAGTTCAAATTTTGTGTGAAAAGTATTATGTTTATATTAAAATCGAGTCTCGAATGTGACATGCGTACGGGTGGCGGTGCATACAGTGCAAACAGAATCCTCCTTCATGATTAAGGAATGCATTAACACTTAGAACATTAGTGTCATATAAAACAATTGTTAACTCACATTTGAGTGATGGGAGCATAGTACTAAATATTGAAAGTCGAGGGTGTTATAATTATAAATAAAGTATCCCCCACTACAAGAACGCATGAGCTGTGACGACCACAAAAGGTATTTAAACTTACCCTGAAAAATAATTTTTCTTTTAATTAACATTCATGGCAGTTTTATTTTACTGAATTTGAGAGCATGTTCAAACAGTTTTTCACAAACGTAATTAAATTTCAATATTTTCCGGACTTGCGTATGTGCATATACCTCATTGAAACTCTTAGATTTCTGTAGTGACGTCTTCACGGGAGACATAAACACTACGAAGGGGCGTATCTGAACAGCTGACACGGTGGAGGGATACTTCTCTGCATCACATGTGATGTTCACTTGTTTAGCAAACTGTCACTTTGGCTCATTCTTATAAAAATCACTCTATACTGTGTAGGGACGGGAATTTGGATACCGGTTAGCACGGAAAAGAAGTCCTGAGGGATAGCTCCTGGTTATCTGCAACACTGATTGCCAATCATTATGGAGACTCAACCACACATCACTGCTGATGTGGGGATCTTTGACCAACTCCAGGGCTTACTTGATCCTCCTGAGTCACCACCGGTTTCTTTACGGATATCTTAGTTTCTTCAAAGCAGATGTCATTGCCAGTTTCTCATGCGTTGTACATTCTTGTTCTTGAAATGGCTAACATGCTCCCATACTCTTTCTTCACTGTTCTGCCAGTCTCGTTCATGTAATTGCGACTGTAGCTGCATGGGACGAAATAAACGCCCCCATTTGGAGAGGTGAAAGATATCCTTGACTCCAACCAAAATCTGGTGTGTCCCAAAGTACATCCACACCCGGTAACGTCTTAGGAGTTTGCTGATTTTGTCAGTTACACCTTTAATGTAAGGAAGCGTGGCTGTTCTTTTGGACTTGATAACTGTGCTGTTCAGTTCGCTTGATGTCAACGGTTCGTATGCTTTAGGTCCCTATTTGTCATGGTCTTGTTGCATCCATTAACAGAGAATGTTTTAATATTTCCCTTTTAGTGGGGAGGCTGCTCTGGTCACAAATTCTCGCTGTGTGAATGGCGAGAGTTTTAAATACGCCATTCTTTGTTGTTGGACGGTGGTGTGAATCAGCAGGACAGTAGCAACTGGTATATATGGGCTTCATGTAAACCGTGTGCTGTGAGCTGCCATCGTTATGTCTGTTCCCCAAGACATTCAGGAAAGGAAAATGGATGTACTTTTCCACCTCCATGGTAAATTTGATTTTGGGATGAATGCTGTTGAGGTGTTTTAAGAATACATGCTGCCCTATCCATGCAGCCAAACTGAAAAGATGTCTTCGACATTCACGACCCACATTGTGAGTATAAGGCGCGTGTTATCGAGCCTCAGTCTCGAAATCCTCCATGAATAGGTTGGCGGCAATAGGTGACAAGGGTAAACCCATGTCGGCTCTATAAATGGTCCTAGAACTTCCTCTGAAATTGGAAGAAGGAATATTAGTTTAAGTAACAAAAATTTATCATGGTTCGTACTGTAATACACATGTAATCATCTGGCAACGCTGATCTGAGGGCACATTTACTTTTATCTTCCTCTTCACATGGACTGAGTAGTGTTACTTCTTTTCTTACCAACTTTATACATGAAAGATTATAGCAAAAACAAAAGCATATTTTGTGACTTTACTTCTTACTACTTCCCTAATTATAATTTTCATTTCTTTGTAAACATTGTTCATGGACTTTTCAAACCAATTTCTTCCACTAAGCCTCTTTAAGTAAATACTACCTATGGCTGGAAAATGTGACAAAATACAGAGAGAGAATAGATCATAAGCAATGATACAATCTCACATGTGTCACATAGTATCATAGTAATGTTTACATACTAATGCAAGCCTCGCTGGGATGATGTCACACAAACATGTACATGCAGGCTCTTTGATAAGATCAGTGCACAAGAAGAAGTTCAATTTTCTTCCTGTCCAATGCAAGTGATTCCCACATCTATTTTTCATTTCTGAGTAAACAGTCACATTCCCATAACATTTTTAAAATTTCAGGGAAGGGCCTTTGCAAACAGTATTCATAGCAGCACACAGAGGGATCCCATGTGGTTGAACACTGTGACTAAACATTTTTGGGGATCACTGGCAGGGCATATCATTCAGTGCCTCTCAATTTTCTGACCTACCAATATTAAATGTTTAGAACACAATGGCCTTGTCTTCGAATATGTAAGTGATCTTGAAGCCTGACTAACCTTTTAACTGCTACAGGCCAGCCAGTTGTGAGTCAAGCGTCTTGCGCCATGCTCCTAGCCCCGCTGTGAGCTGAGCTCACTTGTACACAGATACCACGCATCTTAGTTATCAGCAAGTCCTAGCGATAGCCGAAATCGCATCTGCACAAGCGAACTCGCCTAGACTCTCGGAACATCACGGTTCCTTGTACAATCTCGTCCAGAGACTCCCTGCAACAACCTGACTGAGTGTAATAACTCATCCAAAGGCTACCAAGCACAGAAATATTGTGTGTATCAACTTGTCTAGAGCAGTCAAAGGGTTAACTTTTTGGACAAAGAAAAACCAATTATCAAACATAGAACTATTACTTTTCACTCCAGGAACCAAAGTAGAGCTTGAACTGTTAACAAAGGTATGTGTATTTCTTTACCTCAGGATTTTTTGAGAGCAAGTGGACCTTGGTCATTACCTGATGAAAAACAAGTTGAGAAAATTAGAAAAATCAACTTCACCTTTGCCTGGCAGTGTGCCGACTCGATAGGCGCCTCCCATTATCTGGAGTATTCAGAGTAAATCTGTTTGTTACTTGGGGATTGGCTCGCAACTCTCGCATAGTCACTTCCTTGGCCTGCAACAAATATATGTAAATTGAACAGAAGTACTACGAGGTGTATTTTTTAATCAAATCTTTGATAGAGTCTAAAACATAATCACTTTCACTAAGCTGCCATCCACAACAGACACACAAACACCTCCCTGGTATTTCAATTGCAAGATGATTCTTACAATTAAAAATGATTGCAAATCACCTTTTGGGCTATTTGCCATTCTGAGAATGGAGAGAGATGGCATGTGATGACCAAGGATATTGATTTGTATTATCAGTGCAGGAAGATTTGGCATCTCAAATAACAAGGATCATTACTAATGTAGATTTCAATGTGGGTGGGTCAGTTATATTTAATGAGCAGGTTATGATGAACACCTATAGTCAAGGAAACTTTTTTATTGAGTCAGGTGCGACTCACCCATTGCGAGTTTTATTGAGATGGAGGGGTGACAAAATGAGTTAAACACAGATTACGAACTATAAAACTAGTGGTGCATGTACTTTCTCACCCATATTTTCATGAAATATTACATGAAAATTAATCACATTTTCAAAAACTTGCACATCACTTAATTTCAAAATCTATCTTTAAGGAACAGATTTCATTCTAGGAAAAAGTACCTTCAAGTACCCCCCAAAATTAAAATATCTGTTCCAAATTCAAGGGGCTGTCATGTCAGCCAGATCAATTGGGAATATCAATTTAGGAGAAAATCTGCCGAATGGTTGAGTCGGAAGTGTTCACAGACAGATGTTTTGCAATCGATTGATTTTGCACTTTCAAGGACCCATAAAACAGGGATTCTGGCTACATGTGTTAGAGAAAGCAATTTACTACATATAGGAATATGATTTATCCACTTTCATCACCAGGAATATAGGAGGCCAACAAAAGATTTTCTGACGAAAATCGCTGATTCCGGCACAGGGTTTTACTTTCTCTTCTTACGAAGTGTGAGAAAGTGAAAACAAACCTACTGTTGCAGTAAATAATCAAAGTACTTGCATAGCCTATCGTTTTTCAACTTTCCTTATTTTACATTTTCTTACATTGGTCCCCTGAAAAGTGTAAAAAAGGGGTTTTACTGTATTACTGTGAAATGTATTCTTTCACCGAACACATAGGCCAGAGTGTGAGGTGATGTGGGAGTGTCAAGAGAGTGAGTTCAGTGCATATAGTTGGTGGTTAGGGAGAGTTTTCATGAGAGATTGACATAGTTCCAAGTCTTAGCATTACAAAGAAGGTTATAAGAATTGATACAAATCGTGCGTAAATATGGGAATATGCATGTGTGTGAATGAACTCATGGATGTAAATCGACATGCCATAAATTTTGAATTTCAGAGAGCCTCTGTTGTTTACTTTCAATATGTTAAACCTGCAACAGACTAAATTGTCGCAAAGTTATGCATATACATATGTTTTGAAAAGGAAGTTATAAAGTGTACTTTTGTTGTATATTATATCTATATAAATACATTCTCATGTAAACATTCAGCATTTGGTACAAAATTTGGAGCACAAACTGCAGAACCGAGAGATGGTTGTACATACAACGGAATCAAATTATGGAAACGTTGGAGTCCTTTTGGAGTATTCACTCATCATACTACAGCACATTTGGAAGACTGCCTTTCTATTTTGTTTTATTAGTTTGCAAAAGTCACTATAGAATGCTGCACCATGATGGGCAGTAATGGCGGGCCTACACATAATTCTCTCTGTTCTCTCACTACATCAAAATAAGGGATTTTCCCGTCCTATGAAGCGGCTGCCCCCGGGTCTTGACACACTTTTGCCAGCAGCCATTATCACCAACCTAAGTTCATTTTTCTAATTTTCTTTCCAATTTTTTGATTTACTAATAGTAGAACCGAAATATTTCTTTAAGAACAGTAAAGAAGAGTAAAACCTCATCCTAACTGGCATAGCCTATCGTTTTTCAACTTTTAGAGTTGCTTGAAAAATTTAGAGCTGCTTTTAAGAAAATAGTGTTGAAGCGTTGCTGAAAATGCAAAATATGAAGCATTTTTGAGTTTTCAATAAAACTTGACAAAGTCATTTGAAACACTTCCACTCACAAATGCAATAGTGTGTACAAATCGCTGGAAATGTGCATATTAATGGTGTTAAGACATATTTTAAATAAATTACATTACAATTTTTGAAAAAACAAAATTAACAGCAAAATGAATCTTATGTCATCTCAAGGAGTGTTATTAACACTTTATATATACAAAAAGTTTGAAGAAAAAATTTAGAGCATTTTTACGAAAATAAAGATTATGCCTTTAGCTACGGATACAACGAAAGACAGAATTCAGGTCAAAGCTAAAAATCTAACTTTTGGAGCAATTTTAAGATATTTACTGATAGACCAAGGTTTAATTTCACAAGATATTGTGTGGTGTCACAAAATGGTCCCCATTATATCTGATGTTGAAAAGGGTTTTCACTAGAATAAAGTAATAAGACAAATATAACAATTTCAGTAAAACCCCTTTTTAACACTTTTCAGAGGATGGAAAAAAGTGTAAAATGCAGGAAAGTTAAAAACAATACACCAGACGAATCTTTACATTATTTACAGCAATGGTGATTCAGTTTTTACTTTCTTGCTCTTACATCGTAAAAAAGAAAGTGTTATAATCGAGGGCCAGGAAATGGCTAATTAGCAAAACAAAAACTCTTATTCACAGGCCCTGGTAACAAAAACAGAGGATAAATCATGTTCCTGAGTATAATAAATTACAACCCATGACACATGGAGCAGCCAGAATTCGTGTTTTGTGGGTTCTTGAAACTGAAAAATTGATTGAAGGCATAATGTGTTTGTCTGTTTGTGGTCAAAGCTAACACCAAAACCTTCCACCAAATTTTCCTCAGAATTGATATTTCCTCATTGTCCTGATAGAACGGAAGGTTCTGCAAGTTTGCTACATAAATATTTAGCATGTGTGTATTAATTTACGACTATTACTATATTGGAACAGGCTTTATCCACTTCATATCAGTACGAGTTTTTCTGTCAAAAATCGCCATTTTATGACTCAGCATACTATACAGCTTTCTCCGCTCTACATATATTTCCCCATATAATATGCAAGTATACAAAAAAAGTAAAAAACAAAGAGAGAAAAAAATTATGTAAAAGATGGAAAGCACTCTTCAGTTCAAGTTGTAAATTGAAGGAAACGAATGCACTGTAAATAGAAGCTTTAAGACAGGATCAACAAAAAATTATGTATAAAACAGAAAAAACCTAAAACACGGGAACGCAAAAACAGAGTTTTACTGTAACTGCAGTGGTACGTAACCCATCGATTGATAAATTCTCACACATCATAAAGAAGTTAATGGTCTTACTTTCTGCAACACAAACATACCTAGTCTTTTTTATACAAGAAAAAAATTAAATCTTAAAAAATATTACGCTTAAAGTCAAGCATACGGTACAACTTACAGACACTGTTTAAACCGGCACTTTGTGCCACCCTGGCGGCAACTGCACAGTTTGAATTCTGGAGGCTTTTAGAAAAGTACCTTCTTAAAAGTGAATTGTAATTATGCAGTGGATATACTCAAAGATATTTGTAGTGAACATGAGGGACGAAGGCCCAAGCCTCGCCATGACTTGGGTGTGGGTGAGCGAAGCAAGAAAACTTATCTATGAAAGTAAATTGACATTACAATGCAGCAGGGACAAAGTGAATGAAGAGAAAGACATGAAAATCTCCTATCCGTAATTTATATCAGAGGGTGTAGCGTAATTTGAGGGAGGGCTTAAGAAGACTCCCCCCCCCCCGGCACCATGCTTTTCTGAGGGTGTACTGTGAACCCTACTTGAACCAATATTACATTATAAAAAACATGGATCAATTAATTAATGCAATTTACACACACATTATTTTATCCATTATTATTTAACTTTTAGACCGTATATTTTGTATTTTGAATCCATATATGTGTTATATTTAGGTACATGTTATTCTACATTAATCCTAGCACAAATTATTATTATTATTATTATTATTATTATTATTATTATTATTGTTATTATATCATATACAGTTCACAGACTTGTGATTATCTGAGGTTGTAGGAATCAAGACTATCTTTGATAAGCAAGAACATACATAACCCTGAGTTAATTTTTTTATTCCATTTTTGAATGTATCCTGTTCCATTTGCATTTGTCATGTCATTTCATTTCCTAACTCAAAACTCAATTTTCAGTCTCTAGGTTTGACCACATGTACTATGGAAACATAGCCACATTTGGGTAATATCTACTTGTTGACTTATATTTAGATGTTTACAATCAAAACCTAAATCAGAAAGCACTTAAAGTCAAAAAGTAAAACATTTCATTCTCCCCTCACCTTCTCCACTTTTTGCATGAATTTTTCAATCAACTCTGGGCAGTTTAGATTGGCCTCAGGCTCCCATGTATCATCTTCAGTAGTAAAGCCTTTCCAACGAATGAGAAATTCCCTTTCTCCATTCTTCTTAAAATGGACTTCCACAACTTTCTCTACCTGAAAATGAAACATTCAATTAGTGTTATAAGTAATGTAATACTTTCAATAAAAATTGTGATCAATCAAAGCACATCCACAAGAGCAATTTACAAAATCCAATAAATGTAGTCCTTTCACAGTTAAATAACACCCTCTTTGATGTATGAACATAGAATCAACCAAGAACATGGCACTCAACCAAAGATTCAAATCAGCACTGACACTATTACTGAATATTAATGCCAAACTGCAATGCAAATGAACAAATTATGCCCACTAAACAAATTTGCATGATATAAGAATTGTTTATATTAAATCATTAACTGACACTCTCAAAATTATTCAACTTTTAAAAAGAAAGATAAATTATTCCCCATACTGTCAATAAATTTTCAAGAAACTCATACCTTTAAGTTCAGCTATAAAGTTAACAGTGATTGTTCTTCTCAATATTGTATGTAACATTACCTCATAAACTTTCTCTCCACCTTCTTCTGCAACAGGTTCCACGACACGTTGCTTCTTCTTGGGTTGTGGAGAGGAGGGCTCTTTTTTTGGCTTTTTGGCTCCTTTAGATTTTGATTCCTTGGCAACTTTTTTAAACGCATCAGGGTTTTCAGCCAAGAATGCATCAATACTGTCAGGGCAACTCAAATTTTCTTCTGTTTCCCATGTATCTTGGTCTTCTTCAAATCCTTTCCATCTGATTTTGTACTGCTTGACACCAGACTGAATCCTACAGTCAACTACTTTTTCAACCTTAATTCAACACATATGAATATAAGTAGTGACCAAACTCAAGGATAGAACAATACATAATACAGCAATAACGTTTTTATCCACATTGTTCAAATAAATAAAATTTCAAAGTACATCATTGAAATGTGCCATAACCTTAAATTAGTAAACAAATTATGCCGCATCAATACCTCGTACTGTTCCTCTTCTTTTATCTCCACTTCCTCGTCTTTCGCGTGATCATTATTCTGTCCTCTCTTGCCTTTTTTCGGTCTGTTATTTAATGGCTGATCATCTGATCCAGTTTCGTCGTCATCTTCCGTTTTCGGAGCTGTGTTTTTTCTTACGCGTTTGTTTTTTTTGGTAACATTTTCTTCGTCCCAAGACTCGGCATCAATATCTGCGTCATCTGGCTTAGTAGCCACAATTTTCTTCCCTCTTTTACCTTTCTTACTCTGGTTAAGAGAAACTCTCTTATCACTTGAACTTTCTTCAGCGTCGCTGGGTGCCTGATTTTCATTATCCTGAGCTTCTGTGTCTAGGATAGATCCTTTGCCGCTATCATTTGCATTAGCGCCCTTACCCTTTTTTGATTTGGATGATAAACGCCTCATACCGGCTAATCGGTAAAACACCTGCTGAATACACTATGTAAGTTGAACTGGACGAACCAAGTAACGCTTTTTGGTCACAACACCGAGTCTCGCAAAGCTGTATTCCGGCAATAATTGCCCGACCAGTTAGCACAACTGCCAGCGATAGCAGTATGCTGACAAACAAGGCAGGGGCAGGACCCAGTCCCTGTGGTCAACGGCTCTTCGGCACGTACTATAGCGTCCCTACGCCGTCAACGGGGGTTACAATGCTGGAACCGTGGTTATCACGTGACAAATATAACGGCGAAACGAATATTTATATTAGCAGGGTTAGGGATGAATACATGTAGAATAAAACAAGTTTGTTGACAATCAATTTATCTAGGGACATTTACGCCCAAGCAAAAAGTTATATTTCCTAGGTATTCCGCCAACCATTTTATTATTCTTTCTCGTATAATACGTAGTAATCACCACCTCTTTTCAATTTTCACTGATGTAGGCCTACGTAACAATGAGTACTCTAGGCACTGAAATGATTATAAATATTATTTACACCAGCGTTAAAATCGTTAATATTACTGTAACGGATGTTATATATTTCTCCGAAGACCCCTTAAACATAGTTATTTTAACGCACGTAAATATTAACCCAAGATCAACCTCCCAACGACAGTAAACAATGGTAATATTATTCCTTGATCTGCTGATGACTTCTGGATGTAAAATTCCTGGCATGGAGCGTGGCTTCGTCTACCTAGTCGGCCTTGAGTGGAGGTAAATAGTTTACGACCTCTCATTCCTCGTAAAATTCCTAAATGGTTTAATCAAAATCATTTGAAAGTTACTCTCTACAGATCAATCAGTCGAGTTCCGTATAAAAGTCGAAAGCAAATGCCACCGTAGAAACTTGAGGTAGTTTCAAAGCATGCATCCGATGGTATCGACAAAGCTGCCCTTGCTGGACATGCTTCTTAATTAAGTATGCATCACGATAAATCATTTTCTTTAGAATCCGAAACGTGCATAAAAATTGCCACGCGCAGAATTCAAACAAAAATGCATGCGTCATAATAAATAACAATAATATTAATAATAATTTTTGATGGAAGGAATTTAAGAAATTAAAATAACGTTTAAAAAGAGGATGCCCCTTCCCTCTAAAATCAAAAAACTCAAATTTTAATTTTGTATAATTCTATAAATTATCTAAACAATTAAAATAAAAAATCTTTGACAAACATTGCCTTATGAGAGCATAAAATAAAAAATATTTTAGAAAGCAGTAAATTAAAAAAACAGTAAATTTTCAAAGGCAACATTTTTCTCCCATATACTGAGAACATGAGTAAAAAAAATAATGCAAGAGAATAGTTGTGTCAGCAAAACACAGAAATATTCACAATGGTGTTAGTTTTTCAATGTTTGAAATTTAAACTTTAATACAAAATGTCATTACTATGTATCCTACAAATCAAATTGATGTATATATGAGAAAGGAAAAAAAAGGTCTTCAGGGCAGATGTATCGCTAAATGTCTATGCAAGAACAAATGCTATTCATTGCAGCAAGGACTTTATTTTTTTAACAGATGTATAGTATACACAGTAAGCTGCATTGTCATAAGATTGCTTATTTTAATTTACATTTCTTGAAACCTAGAGAAACTTAACAGGAAAACTACAATGTCTCTTGTCCTCCATGGAGTTCTCAATTTTTGGATAAATATCTTAGAAAACTAACATTACAAGTCTGAACGAACCCCAAAACCAGGGCCAGGTGGCTCTCCGGATAATGATGTGAGCTTTCCTGCTGGTTCTGCCGCATATCTGCCACTCCTGAAATGCATATTGCTCATATTAGGCTTTTATTCTAAATGGATAATATCATTCAACCGAAGAATAACATTTTTTATTATTACAATAAAATACGGCAGAAATATATCATAATAGTTGTAAATTATTTATGTGACAATTGATTGTTAATATCAAGACTATGCTCTAAATTATTGGTAACACATGCCATCTATTAGTCTACTCATGCCATATGTTTCCTGGACAATTTCATGACTATCAAGACATACAATATATAAATCTTGAAGAAACCAAACAATATTTTCTTGCACTTCAATTTTTAAATATCAGAATTCAATGTCTAAAATAACTTCAATAATATTAATTAAACAGGGCTTTGGATTAAAACTTGCAGACTGGTATAATACATCATATAATACATGTTTGCGTAGAAATGTTTCATGCAGAAAGAAGCAAAAATTGTTTAATGAGACAAAATTGGGAACAGACCCTTTAATTAATTAAATCAAATCTATTGCTCAATACTCCAGACATTACCGTCTCAACTTCTCCCCCCCCCCTTCTCAATTACATATTACTGTAGAGTTGCTGTACATCATATTTTTAAATAAAATTAAATGTGTCATGTGCCTTGTATTTGCCTGATGCACAAATGAGAACCGGTGCATTGCTTGTCCTGTTTACAGTTTCAGGAGAAAGTGAGATATTAGTCTATTCATGCAAATCCTTCAGCTATGAACACTTGAAAGAATAAATTAATTGGGTGATTTAGAGATTGTCTTCCTTTTCACCAATTTTGCTCAAACAAGGTCTGCTGGACCCGGCTGACTGAACACGTTCACTGTCCTATGAGACGTATGCGGTTCACAAAACAACTCAATGGTCATAATACGTCTGTACCACAAACCATGTGGGTCACAGTCATTAACAATTTCTATTGCAAATATTTCCACAAAACACACCGAAGCTGTTCAGATTTTGACTTGGACTTGCTAGGATTGTCAATGAATTTAGAAATACTCTGCGCTGTGCAGAAAAATATATTTACTTTTGTAAATACTGCAAAAAAAGAAAATTAGACGTTTGGATGTGAGGATTTACATTAATGTTTTAATAGGGACAGAGAATGAGTTAATGCTCTTCAAAATGTTTTATTATATAATTTCTCAATATGTGGCTGGGTTGGGGCCATAAGGTCCGCTTATCTGCCAATCTGTATGAATGAAGTTTCATTACAAAATTGAAATAGTTTATATTAGAATTATTAATGTTTTCATATATATATGGAACTATTTAGCCTGATGTATCTTTTCTAAAAAATTTTATTTAGTAGAATTCTTCCACATTAGTATCATCCTCTGAAAATGTACTTCAATTGATATAGGTTTTAATAGGAAAACATTCCATCTGGATCAGACTATGAAGCACAATGAACGATTCCAAAGAATACAATTATTCGTCATTAAAGTTTCCTTACTATCTTTGTAGTGTTGGTATTCAACGTGGTATACAACCTATGTCTAAGATAACCTGCTAAAAAAATAGCACACATTTTAGAAGTTTCAAAATTAAGTTACTTGAGTGATGAATTATGTTGGGAATGTGGAGGTAAAACTTGAGGAATGACCACCATTGCCACAATCCAGTGACATTGAATCTGCTGGGAGAGATTTGTATTCTGATGATTCATTATCCTACAATGGTTTTATATTATTAAGAAATGACTACCAAAGGGTCAAAGATCATCACCTTGCTGCAGAAAAGAAGCGCATAACATTCTGAAATTTCTCCCTAGAACACCTCAAAACATGCCGGAACTTATAGCAGGAGGCATCATAGTTTGCATAAGTTATTTCTGATCAAATGCAAAAATCATATATTGTTTCTGTAAACGTATTAGGCTGCTGCTTGATCAATCAACAGGTTAATTAATTTATGCTAGTGTATGTGAACAGTTACATCAGCCGTGGCCTGAGTCTACAAAACTATAAATTGGTCACAAAATTGAAAGTTAACCAAGAAAAGCACAATCCTATGCACAAATTGACCAACAAATGCTTCCATATCTAATATTTAACCGATCAGATACACAAATTATTTTTTGAGTTCCAAACAAAAAAGGATTTAAATTTCACATTCCAAATTAATTGCTGTGTCATTTGTAAATCAATCTGAGATATTTGGACATTCAAGAATCACACAAACTGCAATGTGGTTCCAGGTTATATTCCTGGCATTGTCTTGGTACAATATATCAATTTGAGATGCAATCTACTTCAATGTCTGCGATATTCAATAATCGAACCCACAAACAGATTCAGAATCCTAATAAAATGCAAACAGTGAAAATTATAAGAATCTGCCATCTCCTAGCAAGTTGACGTATAGACGCTGTATGATGCATTGAAGATACATCATACAACATACCTAGAGTAACACATATTAACCATTATGACAAAATGATGGGTTGTAATTGTCAGCAACTAAATTGAACAGTAAAATGTTATCATGTACTTATTGTATTACAAAGTAGATAACATATTAGATGCAACGCAATCTTCTTTAGTCAAAGCAGTATATTCTACCCACAGATGAACACGAACACTCCATGAAAGATTATCATTATGTTATGTTTTATATCAAGTGGACTATCAATTCAAATTCATTTGTATCTAACAAGAAGTAAATGCTTAAACCAACTTATCTGTAGTAGTCATAAATGTGACCTGCAATGTTTTTATTAAGTTATAACAATTCCTTGAAAGTCATGCAGCACACCACATGAGCCATTATTGTATCATAAATCAATAAATATAAATAAAATAAATGTCTTCATTGATGGCAAGGCTCAGGCCATTTAGCCTGCTCTTCCGCCAAACCATATCATGTCTCACATGTAAGTAAAGGTTTCCTCACCTTTCACGACCTAATATTCTTTGCATATTCACATTTTTCAGCTGTGTGTTCACAAGGCAGCGAGATTACTAGGTTCTATAAGGTGATAGGGACATTTGATTTTCTAATCTCTAAATTTCTTGCTCACTCTCTCAAATTAAAGTACTCAGGTTAAACTCTTTTCTCAAATAATTTCTTTTAATTATTAATGCATAAAAATACTATTAAAATAGAAAAACTGAGTACATTGCACAAGCTAGTTCTGTGACGACTGGAGCAGAATTTCCCCCAACTATACAAATGAACAACATATCAGGATCTTTGAAACCACATTTTGGACTAGATAAGCAAATGGTTGGTTCAGAATTATCAAAATATGACAGAAGTTTCATTGAAAATCAAAAACAAATGGACAACTGCTCTTGTCACCTGTCCAAATTTTTGATACTGAGGAATATTGCATTCCTTTAATATTTATCAAAATAATAGGTAGCAGTACGATTTAGTTAACCTAGAAATCAAATATTGTGGGGCAGCTATATGCCACTTACCTTGGCCCAGCTTTAGGCTTCTTTCCAGCTTTCAAATCATCCAGAATTTCAGCTGTATCCTTCACAGTTAAATCTTCCTGTAATAATAAATAATAATTTATTTTTACATAGATCTTGCTTGTATTACCATGGTAAAACACAAAAAAGAAATATACCTACATAATAGTCATCATTGATTTGAACCATTGGAGCATTAACACATGCACCTAAACATTCTACTTCAGAGAGAGTGAATAGTCCATCTTCAGACGTTTCTCCAACATTGATATTTAATTTATTCTTAATGCAACACATTATATCATCAGATCCCCGCAACCAGCATGGGGTTGTAGTGCAAACTTGTACATGGTACTTTCCAGTAGGATTCCTTCCATCAAAACCACAGAAATTTTGTGTTGAAATGAAATTCATAATTGTTTTGTATATCAGTTTAATCTGTATTGTTTTTTATATCACTGTTTAATAAGTAACTGTTGTATTACCTCATGAACATAGTATAAAAAGTTGCGACTTCATATACACGCATTCGAGGCATATCTAAAATGTCAGCTACTTTATGCATAGCTGAAATAGGGAGCCAGCCATGCTGGCGCTGTGCCAAATCCAAAAGAGGAATTACAGCAGCTCTCTTATGTCCTTCAGGGTAAATAGCCATTATAGCTTCTGCTCTCTAAAGAAAATACATTATTTAAGGAAAAGCATTTTATTTATCCTTAAAACGCCACCTTCCAGACATACCTTCTTGTTTGCTTCAGAAAATTCGAATGGTACATCAGGGTTGTTCTCCTGAGAATCCCTATGCTATAAAACGGAAACAAATTAGCAATGTGACTAAATACAGTACCGTGGGATACGTAGAAAAAAGTCTCACCACAAAAAGGCTGTCACTTTGAGTACATGATGATGTCTGGAAATTTCTAGCACTACGCCACTGAAATAAAATTAATGAGGTAAGAGAATAAGCTAAGCAGGAAAATAATAATGTATTCTCATAAATACGTGTAAAATGTTACCAGTGGTCTACTCAAACTCCTGATGGTGCCCAACATTTTACAGGGAAATTGACACACTTACAACGTATGAATATTGCAATGACAACTCTTTAAGACTTTTATACGATTCTCGACAACACAATTCTAAAACAAATTTCCCATAGACAAAATTTCAGGGCACTTCGGCGAGCAATTCTAAGCGACAGATCCAGAACTCAACCCATCCACCTTTCCCAAAATCCCGTCTTCGGCACTGGTCTTCTGAGCGTAAATAGGGCCGGTTCACTCATGTTAAAAAGCGGAAGACGGAGTTTTGTTTCCTCGGACACTCTCCTAGTGCAGATAGAGCTGCTATTGCATTTTCGCGCGCGTTTTGAAAATAGTTTTGCGCGAGCATGAATATGTATTATTTACTTTTCTTGTAGGAGTTGTATTATTTGCAGAAAATGGGCAAATTTGATGTACGAGGTTGCTCAGCTCTTGGAAGATGCCATACCATAAATTGTCACGAAATAATAGTAAGCGACAGAAATGGTTGAAAACATTAATTGCGAAGATTTAATTGATAAATTATGTATTAATTATATATAAATAATATTATAATAATATTTATTGAGTCACATATACAATTACAATCGTGTATGACGAGTCAATATGATGCCTTGGGTGGAGAGAGCGAAGTTATATTAGTTCAGGAGCAAAACAAGGGGCCATCCAGTATTTGCTCAAAGGAAACTCGAATAAAACCTGATCGAGATTAGGTCATTGGCCTAGAAATACAATACTTGTTACAGTTTGATTAAGATATTATACAGTAGATAAATTATCTGCTAATAATTAACATTTCAATATATTTTAATGCTACTACTTATAATATTTACATTAATAATAACAATAATAACAATAACAATAATAATACATATCAATTATGTTGCAACTACATCAAATTTAACAATAGTAGTACATTCTATATTTATAACTTGAAATGCGTGAGGAGGCAAGTTTTGACCAGTTTTTTTCTTCTTCTATTTCACAGGATGTGATATGCAGTTCTTTTTTCTTTGCTTCAGCTTGAAACAGTTCACATGAAACAGAAAGTCTAATGGAATAAGACATTCTTATTTATTTATATTTTTAGGGAAATGTTGTAATATTTAAAATTCCTTTACACTGTAGAACATTGTTAAGCAGGAAAGCTTTTCATTTACTTTGAAATGTATTAATTGTGTTTATGTCTTTGATATCAATTGCCTAGTTTGTGGTAAAGTGTAATTGCCCTCTCTTAGGGTACTTTTTTGAAAAAGTGGTAGTTTCGAGAGTGGGGAACGTGTTAGGTTTTCCTATTGACGGGGGTTGTAGTTATTGTACATCAGAATTTAAGTAAAAGTGTCTTTTATTTTCCCATGAGAATTTCCTTTGTGAAGACCACTATTTCAAATATGTACATGCATGGTAGAAGAGAATCCTTACATAATTAACAATAATGGCTGGATTGCTGAACATGTGAAAAACATTTTGCCTACATTTAGGAACATTGCCCTTAACGTTTTTAAATTTTCAAAACAAAATTTAGTAATTAGAGCTATACATTTATATACTAGATTCACTTATTACCTTCCAAAACAATGTTCTTATTTGTTCACACATTCCCCAAATTAGTTTGATATTTATTTCACAAAATTCTACAATGTTTATTAGGCTAGTTTTCACACACAAAGTATTATTCAATACACATGCTACGAATATATATAAATAAATATATATATATATATATAAATAAATAAATATATATATATATATAATATAAATATATATATATATATAAATAAATATATATATATATATAAATAAATATATATATTATATATATAAATAATATAATATATATTATATATATAATAAATATATATATATTAAATAAATATAAATATATATATAAATAAATATATATACTATATATAAATAAATAATATAATATAATTATAAATAAATATTATATATATTAAATAATATATATATAATAAATAAATAATATATATATATATAATATATATATAATATAAATAAATAAATATATATATATAAATAAATATATATTATAATAAATAAAATATATATATATATATATATAAATAAATATATATATATATATAATAATATATTATATATATACTATAAATAAATATATATATAATATAAATAAATTATATATATATAAATAAATATATATAATAAATAAATAATATATATATATATATATAAATAATATATATATATTAATAAATATATATATATATATAATAAATATAATATATAATAAAGATATATATAATTATATAATAAATATTATATATATAAATAATATATATATATATAAATAAATATATATATATATAATAATATAATTATATAATAATATTATATCATAATAATAATATATATTATATAAATAATATATATATATAATAAATTAAATATATAATTATATAAAAATAATTATATTAATAATAATAAATATATATATAAATAAATAATATATATATAAATAATATATAATATATAAAATAATATATATATAATAAATATATATATATATATAAATATATATATATAAATAATATATAATTATATATAAAATAATATATATATAAATAAATAATAATATATATAAATGATATATATAAATAAATAAATATATATATAAATAAATAAATATATATATAAATAAATAAATAAATATATATATAAATAAATAAATATATATATAAATAAATCAATATCATATATATAATGTCTATAATACATTTCATCATTCACACTAACAGCAATTGCATCTTCCAAGTGAAAAAATTTCTTCATTGACACACTTAGGAATTTTATCTTCTTGGAATGTTCTTTGAGAAGGCAAGTGAGCAGAGCATGTAGAATATGGTGTTAGCACAATACCATCTTCAGCCCCATCTTCTAGTATTGAAGTCATTTGATATTATCTTGCTAGTCCTCTTCAAATCATACTTGATACACATCTAATAGGAATGTAACTCTTACACCTAAAGAGGTTAAATAAATTATATTTTATCATAAACTAACCAGAGCATACATATTCTAGAAAGACTAATAATGAGAATATATATACTCTGGTTAGTTTAGGATAAAATATAATTTATTTAACTTCTTTAGGTTTGGACACGGCAAATAAATATCGCGACACGAATCACTATACTTTAAACGCATGACATTCTAAATACTAACAAAATGCTGAAAAATTTGACTAGAAATTCCAGAGCAACACCAGTAGCCTGCACGTAACTAATCAAAACCACCGCCTACATTGCCAGCATTTTGAATTGCATGACGTCACGCATTTAGTTCGTCTCGCTACTCTCCTACGGGAGATAGCGCAAAAATCATTACCCCGTTTTCACCTCCAAGTTTCACGTCCCTGGTTATATACTCTCTGGTATGATGTTCCACACTCTTTGGTACAAAGATATAACTACTACATTGCTAACTCGACCAGTCAAAGCATTGGATCAGGTCGCCATATTAGAAACGGGCACAAAGCTGGCGGGAATTTGAATTTGAGTAGTACCAAGCTCATGCCCTGAGGGAATGAATATTCAGAATTTCACAAAACTATTTTAAATAATTTATATCTGTTAAAAATTAAAAAGTAATACAAATATTTATTTCAACAAAAGCTTAATTGTTACACATGTTTGAAGAGAAAGGCACTAAATGACTAGAATTATATTTACATTTTGTTCAATAATATCAACTTTTTCAGTTAATATCTTTTACTGATAGAGCAAGTATCTTCAGTAAAATGTTTGGCTTGGGAGAAAAGTCTTATTTCTGAGTAATTGTCCACTATTGAATTGTGTAGTTATAACGTCTTTGATCTGGTATGAAGTTCACAGATGTTCAATCCCATCCAAAGATCTTGTAACTACACTATATAATTACTCTCATAACTACTGCGGTTAGAGCATCTTTGATCCTATCTCCTCATAGAGAATTCATTTATCAAAAACCAAAAGAAACCCAAGTACAGTATAGTATAGTACTCTTTGAAGAAACCTGAGACTAACGTTTCCTGTGGGCTGGTTTCTGAATCCATATGATTGGCATGTTTTCTCCGGTCATTACGTTTAGTTTGGTAAAACATACGAATATATATTTGGATGGATAGATATGAGAATAGGTGGTGTTCTATGATATTGTGGTGTAGTTTTGATTTTTTTGCTCCAATATGCTATTTGGGGCTCTGATTATAAATCTGAAATTTGGCAAAAATATTTCCGTTAGAATTTGAGTCATAACTAAAGAAAATTTTTTGTTGGCTATATCTAAAAAACTATCGAATTTAAAATAAAATTAGATCACGGGATTGGTCCTTGTGATTAGAGAAACAATTAGTTGCGCTATATCCCGTGAACCAATTTTATTTTATTATTCATCAATGGTCGCGATTCTATTATAGTCAATTATCGAATTTCAGCAAAAAAAAAATCTTCGTCAAAGTATTCTACGTAAAATTTCTTTCCTACGCGTTTGGAAATTGAGATTCCCGGATGTGTGGCGTAAAAATAAAGGTCTTCACGCTATACTGTGATTTTCGAAACTGCATCAGGCAGTTATCAGCTGGCAGTTTCATGCAATGGGGAGCTTAAATCATCAATAGTGACCTCAATATGGTGACGTAAGCTCCTGATTGGATGAAACCGACAACAGCTGATACCTGTCAGAGACAGTTGCATTATTCGCAGTATAGTTATCGGAACTCTGCATTTGTTCCTAAGGACCGGTTGAACGAATGAAGGACAAAACTGGTTAGTAACCCTCAAGTATTGCTTAACACTGGGTTAAAAAGGGCGACCAGTTGTATGATACTTTACTCCACCAGTGTTTCATAACCATCAAATAAGCGGAATGAAAGTTTGTTGGCAAAATTGGCGATTGTAGTTTGTCGATGAAATCTTAATTATGTTTATCGAAAGATTAGAAGTTCTTCTATGTTGTGGTGGAGTTTGAATCGATTTCACCTCCCAGATTTCGAGTAAGAAGACCATAAATTTAACACGGGCTCTTACGGTGACCTGACGCTGCAGACTTAAAACTTTAAAATTGTGGTTTGAGACGAGTTATTAAAAATAGCTTTGTCGTGTAATCCCTCTTGTGTAACACGCCTCCCTCTTGTGTAACACGTGCATGTAACAAATAATGTACTTCAGCTTCCGGGTCAATGACCCATCTCGATCGGGTTTTTGTCCAGTTTCCCTGATCCATTGAGCAAATGCTGAGATGGCCCCTTGTTTTGCTTGTTGTATTTTGTAATTGATTGTTCATAATGCTTCCTTGATTTTTCTGGCAATAATTGTAGAGTTGTCGAATTCGTTATTTCCTGAATTTCAAGTGAAGTACAAACTTCATTGTTACTGTCGCTGGGTTCAAGATTCATTTTCTATTGAATAATCAATTCGCAATGTACCAAGAAATGAGAGTACAACAATGTGTAGGTTACGTACATGAAACTGCGAAATATCACTTGCCTACAGCGGTTCAAAAGAAGCGCGAATAGCGAAGAACGCAATTTTGCAAGTGGATTCCACAAATTCTAGGAATGTGATTGGTCGTCCGGCGGTGGATTCCGTACTGAAATCGTCGGGGTGTGTATTAAATGTAATCGATGTTTAAATATACAGCAGGAATACATATATTATTAAATGGTCTTAGAGAAATTAAATATCTTCTCCAATTTGCAACCAGCTTCCTAGGAAGAAAATATAATGACTACTGATGGTTCTAATTTGCGCAAAAATAGGCAGCTCTCATTAGAGCGACGTCTCGCACTTCCAAGCCTGTGAATGACCCGCGATTTGGACAAGTTCTCAGTTAACCTTTACAGAGCATATTGACTGCCGAGTAATAGGAAGATCTGTAGCACACCTTGACTGAATTGTACGAAATTCTGGAGTAGTCTGTTTTCTGACAAGTGTGGGGAAGAAGAAATACTCCTGATGTATTTAAAAAGCTGAGTAGAAGGAAGTAAGGCTCTCAGATTGAATATGACGGTAATATTTTTTTGCAAGATTTATTAAGCTAATTTGACGCTTGTAAAAAGGGTTGCCACCTTGCCAATTCCAGAAAACCGAAGACCACTGCGACCGCGGGGGGGGGGGGGGGAATTACTGAAATCTAAAAAGAAATTGAAGCAGACTTATTTATTTCTTTAAAATATATTTACATATCTTTGGTTTCTAGTGATCTATAAATAATTAACATTTATTCAAAATAGTGTTACACTTTGCTAACATTCAACTTTTTCCAGCTATACTTTTCGTTGCTCAGAGCTTTTTTTAGTAGAGATATTTGCTCGGGTTTTTTAAGAAAAATCAATGAATTGATCACAAGTCAAGTCGTAGTTTAATTTTACAAATAACTCAGATTTTACGACGCTTAATGTTTCCAAGAAATAATTTTCTAAGAAAAAACGAACGAAAATTCGATCTTGTTCAAAATGAAGATATCGAATAGCATTCCCGGGGGGTTATTCTTGAAACTGTTGCGCGATGCGATTCTTGCATAATCGCTAGATGCTGTCTCTGTCTGATATGCGTAGAAAGAAAGACAGCGGATGGCGATAACACGGGAATCGCAAGACAATTTTCATGTTCTGCTCTTTATCTTTCTAATGAAGAAGGAAAGGACAGATTTCTGATGAAATAGAAAAAGCTTTAAATTTTAAGTTGAAAAATCTATTTATTTTGTAAAAAATTTGAAAATGTATTGAAATTGAAAAAAAAAACGGAGATAATTTTTCAAAAACCGGAGACCGGAGATGAAGCTCAAAAACCGGAGTCTCCGGTCTGAAACCGGAGAGGTGGCAACCCTACTTGTAAATGACATTGAACGCAATACAAACGAGAAAGTCCAAGAAATATTAGGTTTTGTATCAAATATGTTCTATTATTTATTATATTTGGAATCTAAAAATTGACAAATGTTCGGCTATGTGTAGTATGAAAATATTACGTAAAGGTTATGTTAGTCTTACAGAAAACAGTATGTACCGCTTATAATCAAGCCTCTTTTTACATTGAGATTATGCTACTCGATCATTTATAATTTGCATTGGAGGTTTTTGGGGGCTGGTTGAAAGTGCCGCAAAACTATTCGCACAAATGATCTCTAGGAATTCCCTTTGTTACTCTTACTAGTTGAATCCTCTACAATTCCCATTTACGTTAACCAACGATATAATATACAATTTAACACTCTCTCCAAATAACTATTACAAAAAAGTGTGTAGATGCACCACATACTACCACAATTTCGCTGTGGCCGCGAACAACCTAAATTAATATTAATCTATTTACAGTTTTGAAGGCAATACTGCTTTTTAAATGGCAATAATCTCTTAATGATGCTTCCTCATTTCCACCTCACAATTTCCTGGTTAACAAGTTCTCCCTGGTCGCCTTGACTTTGACCTCATTTTCGGTGCTTGTGCGCCGTTACCTCCCGCAGCTGCGTCCTCCGTGCTCCAAAGCTCGACCTTGGCCTCCGCGCAGCCTCTCGCGCGCGAGCCCCGGGTCGCTGGTGACTTCTCGCTGACCTCTTGCGTCGTCTTTCGCGTCGCTTCGTCCCCCTCGACGTTTCTGTATACGTCCGCGTGCGAATGTCCCTTGCCATGCACTGAAGAACTCGTGCGTATTGACGCGTAGCTCTCGCTCGCACTGTCCAAAATTTCGCCGCTGATTGAAATTTACTCGATCTCAGGACAAACTATTTCCTATTGTACTGTCCTCAGCTCCACAATAACTGGTAGCCTAGATTAACTCCTCGCGTCTCGTTTGAAGAAATACTTTATTCCAGAAGGATTCTAACATTTCTCGGAGGGCTATCTAGGCGTCTGTTCGACGTCCAACACTCCTAACTCGGCGAAGTTGTTGCTGGATCCGCGGGCAAGAACTGAAGAGAGTACTACTCGCTCGAAGATCAGGAACGAAAGAGGATGACTGATCGTCGGCTGTGTATTTATGCACGCGCCCTCCGTGCAGGGGTAGTGCGTGTCATCTCCCCCTCACCAGTCTGACTGCTTCGTGCCGATACCTGCGCCATGCCGCGGGCATCGCGCGCAACAGTATTGTAGGCTGCGGGCGCGCCCTTTTCAACCCGGTATACTACAGGCGTTTTCTTGATGTGTGGGTGTGTGGGACAAACATAGGCACTCGCGTTCGTCACTGTATATATTACTTGTACGGTTATATTGGATACAATGTGACCAATGTCCATGAAAGTCGACACATCTATGTGTTTTTTAACGCAAAAGGTTTATGTGCTCTTAATTTTGTTGTAACTCCACTACATGACGCTGCAGAACAACATTGCGCTTCATTTTAATTTAATTTCCATTCAAACTGCACTCCACCTGAGCTTCATTGTTTCTCAGCGTTGCCGTGTGACGCAGGGCACAGAGACACCAAGGCGAGACACAGAGTCGGAGAGACGAAAAAGGGAGGGACAGGGACTTAGAGACGGAGACAGTCAGGGAGAGGGGCAGAGAGAGAGAGAGAGAGAGAGAGAGAGAGAGAGAGAGAGAGAGAGAGAGGAGGGGAGGGAGAGAAACTCTGCCAGGAAGATACTTCATAAGTTGAGAGCCGACGACTTTAAAGATAATAATTTGTGAAAATTAGTTGTTTAAACAGTAATAATAGAATGAATATATAAAAGACAAAAGATATGGGTAGAGAGGTACAGTTAGTAAAATTTATATAGTTTTATAAGGCAAACATTTAAATCATAATTTCGTTTTAAATTATAATTTTAAAACATCAATGATTCACTCACAATATTAGATCATTTCCGAATCATTTCTTTTTAAGGGCATGTAACCATATTAGTAGAAGATGTGATTTTTTTTACCAAATTATTACGTTTTCGCAGTGATGAATTGACACATAGAGTAACGCTGGGCACTGCACTCCTTGCCGCCCCTTTTTTCTTGTCTTTGATATTTTTAATAAAGGCAATAAAGTTTGAATAATTTCAATTATTAATAATACAACTTTTTATAATAAAATGAATGTTGCATAAAAGAAAATAAACTCTCTTGCGTCTTGCTGATTGGACGGCGAATTGGTTAACGAGATCATCGCAGTTTATTGATTTTAAACTTTTGGAATCTATTGCCAGCAACGCAAGCGTATTTAATCTGTCTTCTGTCGTTTTTGATCTGAGGTAGTTCTTCACTAGTTTCAAACATGAAAAAGATCTTTCAGGGGGGGGGATTGTCATGATATTAATCAGCGTCAACAGGCTCTGCGACATGATTCTCAACGTGCCAGGCAGATAGCTATAATATCCAGAGAGCTCACAGTTTGTAGTTCCTGCCTCTCCGCAAGGTGTATCTGAACCTTTCCTGCAGATACTACAAACTGTTATGACAATATATCAGATAAAAATCGTATTTTGATTTTCTTGTACGTTTAAATATTCTTTATTTATAATTTTAAATAATAATAATAATAATAACGGATATATTAAAAATGGGAATGTTTCGAAGAAAAACGTAAAGTTGTAGGTACAGTATATTTGAAACGTACATACGAATTCATTGTATACCAGTCTAAGCATCCCCTCTACCCTTAATGCCATTACTCGATAAACCACCAAATTTTGAGGGTACGAGCAGCCACTTGAATACACCAATAAAAAATCATTTACACGAAAAAATTTCGTCAATTCCATTGGAGGCAAATTTTGAATATTTTTCTCAGCGCAGTGTTCTTGCAAATGTAACATTTCATTTCACAATTCTTTCTTCTAAATCCGTGTCATGGAAGTCTCGCAGCAAGTTAGATTTTTCTTGTACATTGATTGCATTCAAATTTCATAGTTCTAAAGTTATGAAAATATTTCCACTGATCTTGTTGTAAGCGTCAGTTTTTCGAGTGAACTCGCAAACTAGTAAGTTATCTAAAATCACAAAAAACGTATTGACTTTGAAGTGATGGTGGTTTAATAGTTAGTTAAGTAAAAAAAAAAAACAACTAAAAAATACGTTCTTTGTTCTTGTTGACACCTTTTGATCAATTGAGTTAAAATGCTAGTCATGAATAGCACACATATTTTTGGGGCAAACAAAAGTTCAAGTGATTTATTTGAATTATTAACCGAAATATGTGTTAATATAACAACGTGTTTATATAACAAAACTACTGGTGCTCCAAGAGCATATGCTTTCTTGCATTAATTCTAAATTTGAAATTTTCGAAAATTCAGATAGTTCAACGAAAATGAGACTCGTTGCATTCTTTTAAGCGTCCCTTCTATCCGCGGGAAAAATGTAAAGAAAAAAATTGAAATGGTTTTTGAGAGAAAATTTAATTTTTTAATTACCTATATTTCGCGCCAAATTTCATCACTACTCATTTTCGAATAACTGAACATGAACTTATTTAAAGATCCGTCTTTAAGGAACAGATTTTATCGAGGAAAAAATCTCTATCTTCATTATTATATTTGTTGGAAGACGACAACAAAATTGCACTTTCAAAATATCTGAGACTTCAACGAACAGGTGCCCTGCACCGTTCTCCTAGGATTCCTTTACGCTTTAGGACGACAAAGTATCATTAACAAATTTGCGGCCATTTTTGAGAAAATGTTTGAAGTATTTTTGAGGCTTTATGTGAAGTACCCTCAAAAATCCAAATATCCATTTGAAACACCTAAAACCTCCAGTTCATTCAGATCTATGGGGGAATATCAATTGTGAAGAAAATTGGCTGAACGGTTTAGGCGTCAGTGTTGACCACTGACGGACAGTTTAGCGTTTTAAAAGCGACGAAGTATTTGTGTTTATAAATAGTATTACATAACCACTAATATAGCCTGCTATTATGCTAATTAACTAATACTCTATTGAAATAAAATTGCAGTGTTGTTTTTAATCTTTAAGAATCTTTGAGTAAATTATCTACATTTTATTGATACTCTGTGATTATTAATACCAATGCTGAAAGGGTCCTTTGCTCACCTGGAATGTTAATCAAACCTTTGTATCTAAGTTCCCTTTTTCTGTACTAGCAGTAATTTTTATAATTAAGGATTAGATGCTGGAAAAACATCTCACAACTTTCATTTTCAGTTAAGGTGGCATACCTGATATTTTCAATATGCAGGTTTTTATATTTAATAAATGTTAATAACTAGAAATCTAAAATTAGAGACCAAAGTTCTTACAATACAACAATCATATTGAAAAATAATTCCCTCTCTATTGCAAGAGCTACAGAATTTAGGGGTAGTCCATTAGTCAGTGAGTCTCCCTACCACCCTAGTAAAGCTTGACTACATTGCAACTCTCAGACATATCTTGACTTCTGATGTTCAGGCGTTAATTTGACAAAATAGTCACTCACAAAGGAATTAATTATTACAAAAATAGGGAAGCAAAAAAGAAATTTATTCTGGCTACAGTAGGAGTGCAGAAAGGCGTGCAAAAAATGAAAAAAACATATAAAAGGAACGATTGTTATAAAAAAAAAAAATTAAAATGATTCACTTTTTTTATAACTCTAAAATTTACATTAGCACTTATGTGTAAGTAAACCACCTTTTATTTATAATCTTGATTTCACATGACCACTTAATAGGATGACTACAAATCTGTTTTACTCATGATGCTGTCTCTTTGAAATACTTTTGTGGGCTCACTTTTGAATCTCAAAATGACATCACAGGAAATAGAATTATATTTTTCATTCTTCACACTTGTGTAACCACCATCAATTAGAAGGGAAAACAGAAAGCTGTTCTCAAAAGTAATCGGAGGCCATACTCAAAAGTAGGATAGAATTCCTTGTGAGTGTACAAAGCTTGTCCACATCATTAAAAAAATCAAAAATTTTAAATGGGGCCATACTCCCCTCCCACCGCCAAAAGCCTAGAGTTTTTGTTTACCTTCCTTTATTTGACAAAATTGATTTAAATATTTATTTGTTTGAATTATGTAATTATTTTTAAACAAATATACAATATCATATCTATTGCATAAATAATATACAATATAATATCAAAAAAATTCATTATTCAACAAAACTCTAGGAAGGGTTGTGTAAGGAATAAAAAGCATTTGTAGAAAGCAATATTTAAAATAATAGCAAAATGGTGAACTCCCAAAGATTAAATGAGGGAGAAATGACCTGAGCAATTTTAATTTTAAATTCCTTCTCACTGAGGTGTCATATGCCCCTAGTATTTAGTGGCTCCACAGCTCTGCAATGGGCAGTGTGCTATGATTGTCTTCTACTTGAGTTATGAGTATCCCTACAAATTAAAGAAGTTATCATCTTATGAAATTGCTTCGATTTTTGAAAAGGCCCGAATATTTAAAAAAATTAATTCAAAGTGTGATATGTGGGAGTTTTGGATGTCTTAAACATTAAGATCACTGAATGACTTTGGAAAAACTTTTTCCTAGTCTTAGAGACCAGAAATTAGGAAAAGTGCCCTTTTATTATTGTTACATTTTTAATACTTATTTTGATAATAGGAACCACTTAACAGTACTTTTAGAGTTGTGTTAGAAGATTTTCATTTTGCCTTTTTCCCCCTCGTATTTTAGCTTCTGATGCCTATTTTCTTGATTTTGACTTTTTTTTTACCTTCTCCACTATTAATTTTTTCCCCCTCTCCTGGCATCAATCTCAATCAAGCCTCGGCTTTCCCTACAAGCATCAACATGACATGAGTCAAGAAGTTTTAAACTAGGGTTCTAGGCCCAGGAAGTGTTAAAAATTGCTAAGAGAAAGTGAGATAATTTCAGACAAGATTTTCAGATTTATTTGATTGATGCTGACACTATTCACTCATGAGGAATATCATCCTACCTTTGAGTATGACTTACAATCTGTTTCGAGGACAGAGTTCTCTGTACAGGATAGACAACCCTCCTAAGTGCTGGTGATTACACAAGTTCAAAGAATGAAAACAATAATAGTGTTCTCTCTGTTGACAGGTCAGAATTCAAAAAAGA